AAAGAGAAGGCAGAACTGTCTTATTCTAATATTTGTTTCTGTATTTCTCGACAAAAACATACTAAAAGCACCAGAAAGACTGAAGCTCAAGATACCAGGATATTTTAAGAGAGCACTTAGTCTCTTTAAATTTGTTCAAGTGGTCAGACCGATCAAAGTGAATTATGTCCCAGGACTTTGAAATAATTTGCAGGTGAGATTGTGAAACCACAATCAGGAATCTCTTTGAGACATCGCGGACACCAGAGCGGTGCTGGAACAATGGAGACAGGCAAACATCGATCCTGATTTTCAAGAAGATGGATTTAGATGCAGTAAACTTTGCTCTCAGGCAACTTTCTGGATCTTTTCTGGAATGAATTATTGATGAGAGGGCCTAGAGCACTGGTCCCTAAGAGGAGCCCAGGCTCTCAAGAAAACCAACCTCATTTTCTTTTGAGAAATGATTTCTAGGCTGAGAAACTAATCAGCGTCAAAGACACAGTACATGGGAATTGCACACGCACTTGGCCGTGTGTGTGCTCCCTCTGCGGAGGAGACGGAGAAATGTAAATGCGTGATACCACAGAAGGGTTCGGACTTGAGTTGAATGACAGTTTGATGTGAACGGTGTGATTAATTTTCTCATAGGTCTCCACTTGGCTTATTCTGCTCAGTATTTTAATCAACAGCTTACCTACAGAGGGAAGGTTTATCAGATTTGCAAATAATAGAGTGAAAGTTAAAGAGTATCTTGGAAGGATAGAGGGCATATATAAAATTTAATACAAATTTAAAATTTTCCAAAGGGCTGCAAGGGAAAACACCACTTTAAAAGTCTTAAGGCATTTCAAATGATTGCCAATTTATGAGCCATATCCTTAAGAGTCTATGATTTCATAAGCATTAATACTACATAAATAACAACTGTAGCAGCAATGGCCACAACAAAAAAATATAAACAAACCAAAAGGTCATTGCTTCTTTTGGCTAGTTCTAGGTACATAATTAAAAGTTTTTTTATTAAAAGATTTCAAAATTCCTAATATTTCCAAACACCATTCTAATAACATTGCAATTCCATCAAGTCACCAATGCAAAGTCTATTTCAATAAGCAAATGCTACCCAAACATACATTACACTGAAATGACCAGAAGCAATTGGTATGGTGCCAAGAATGTAATAATCATATGGAAAATTCACTTTACTTTTTGGCTGCCTGCCTCAGTTTCCCCTCCTGCTAAATAGGGGTGGAAAATACTTGCCAACACTGCTGGAGAGGCATGGATCATAAAGATCAGCAAAGTGATCCCTCTCAAGCTCTTTGGCTGAATTCCTTGGAAGGAAATACTCAAGCGTCCCTGTTCCTCTCGTTAAAGACAATTCTCATTCTTCAGTGTGAGAGGTCCATGACTCACCACCTAAGGTTCCCATTAATTGCTTTCTTGTTCCTAAGGTGAGTGTAGATACTCAATGCCATACCTGGGGGTGCAGGACCTGCAATGAATGCTCTGGCCTTCAGCAATTCTTTCCTGAAAGCAAAGACCACAGAGGGTCCAGCCTGAAAGCGGAGGGGTAGGAAGCTCTCAGAAATGGAATGGAGGCTTCCGATTGGTACAGCTAAAGGCAGCACAGGCCTGTCAAGTCCCAGCTGGAAGTGCTGTGATTTATTTGCATTGAAGATGCCAAGAGAAGCTTTCTGGGAAGAGATTCCACTGAGGTAGCTGGGAGAAGAAGTCCTTACGGTCAACCCAGACTTGACTTCAAGGGCATAGCTTGGTGTCAACCAAGACCACAGACATTGAGATTATCTGCTTTTATTTTGCTCTCTCCTTCATCCTGCTACCACTATGAGAAAAAAATTGAATTGAGATTTATTTTAAGGTCTTCTGTCCATAAAGAGAGCTCCAACTTTTCTACTTCTCATTTCTTGTTCTAATGTTGGGAGGGTTATCTGTTGTTTCATCATTGTGGGACATTTTTAACTAATGCATCTTCAGTATGAGTTAAAAAAATCCTATACAAACTCAGCCCTGAGACTAGTGTGCCCAGCTGTGTGCCTTTAACGGTGTGAGGGGCTTCATGGGGGCAAAAGGACAAATGGGCCCATGATGTCCCTGCCCTTGGCCTCTGGCCCAGCGGTCCGCCAGCAACGTTCATTGCACACCAGTTCCTTCCTGTGTGGGAACTATTTTTAGAACAAGACATAATCCTTACCCCCAAAGTGTTTATGACTTAATATGGGGGATACTCAGCATACATAGTCTTGATTAAAGACTGTTACATAGCATGCCAAAGTCAAATATCCAAGTCACAGAAGTATTTTTTTTTCTGGCTAAAATTAGCAGCATGCTTATTTACACAGACCAAACATAGAATATGCAGCCTTGTTTTTCTCATTTTATAATAGGAACAAAGATAAATGTGAATTATCCCCTTTCCATGTCTTTGTGCACAGACGCCAAATCAAAATCTGCAATGAAATGTGATAGAAGAAAAAAGTTACATAATGCAAAAAAGATTGCAAAGTTTCTAGAGTTTCTTACTTGCTTTGCTTTCCCAAACAGAAGGATACAGTTTTCCTCCAGGCAGAACATTAAATTTATTTTAGGGTCTGAATCCCTCTCAATGACTTGTGCAAAGGAAATGATTCTGTAGATTGAGGCAGTTCTTCTGTAGGCCATTATTTTTGAGGAGCTAAGAGTCCTTTAGGATATGTTTGTTGATCTTGTTTGCATAAGTTGATCAAACATCACTCTTTGCAATTATAGAAGTATGTAACACTGTATTGTATTTGGTTTTTATTTCAGCAGGACAAATGTTTGGCTTTGTTTCATAAGATAAACCAGCAAGAATTTGCATTCTAACACAACACTGGTTTTGGGTGAATAATAAAAGGTTATGAAATATTGAAGAGTTACAAACTTAAAAATCTTGAGTTTGCACAGTTGAATGAATAAAAGGGTTTTAATTCTCACCGCCACCTGCAAAACATGTTCTTTGTTCTTCACTCATATTTGCAAGGTTAAGAAAACAAGACCTTGGCAGCAGTAGATAAGTAGCATTATTTCAGCACTCACAGGAAAACACTGGCACGACCCACTGCCACTTCCTCTTCGTGAAAAGATGCTAGAAGACTTGATGTCGCTTTAGGAGAACATGGCGCAGAGGAAAGAAGGCAACTTTGGGAGCAGACAGATGAAAAGCAAGGTTCCTCTCATGCCTGCTAGCTGAGTGATCTTGGGTACATTAGATTACTGTGCTGTGCTTCTATTTCTTTGCACAGGCAGCTCAGATTCAACCTGGACTAACCCTTCCTCTTTGCCACTGGTGCTGAAGACACTGATACAGGGTTGCCCTTCAGGCACTGTGTCAAGGACAGTGAAAAGCCAAGGGCACATTCCTTCCTGGACTATGTCTTAGTGAAATCTCAAGAACTGAAAACATAAGTAGGACCAGAAAATTATTTTGCCCATTCTCTTAAGTGATTTAAGAATCTTTGCTTAAAGAAGCAACATACTAAAATGTAAACCAACTGTAAAATTTATCCCTACCTTTCTGGTATGATTTCCCTTCTATTCTTGCTGGTGAAAATTTTATAATTATTTGCAAAGGACCTGAAGGTTTTACATTCATGCGTATTTTTGTGTGGTGTCAGTGCTGGTTCAAGGAGACAATAGGGAGGAAGGGAAGGGGAGGAAGAGAGATGAAGAAAACATAATAAAAAGAAGTTGATGCCTAACACTGAGGTGAATACAAATGCAGTTATAAAATGTAGTCTGAAGGCATCAATCAATAAAATGAATGCTTCCCTTCTAGGAATCCTAATACCTTTTGTGAGTAGATTCTCTCTCCTGTAAGCGCTCTCCCCCTCTTACTCTCTGGCTCTCTCTCTCTCACACGCTCACTCCCCTTTTCTCCTTAGAAAATTACAAATTGGTATGAGTTTGTCACAGTCATTGGGCAAATTGCCAGCTCACACACTGGCCCCTTGAACACCTACTTGCTACCATGGTTTCTTTCTCTACATAAATTTAGAAATAACAATGTGGAAAACTTACCTTTCCTCTGTTCACAAAACAACTTCATTTTACTTCTTAGAATAGCCATCACACTAAAATGATGGGCTGCAAGTTGGGAAGCCCTGTAGGATGTATCTGCTGCTGCGCCCCCCGGGGAGGCCTGCCCAGATGCTCCAGTGGGAGGGTGGGCAGCTAGATGGGGGACAGTCCCGGGCGGGGGTGCTTTGTGCCTACTCCCCGAGTATGTTCTTCTAATCAAATCCTGTCTGTGCTCTCAACCCTCTTAGGATCCCACCTTCCTCAACTAACTCCAGTTTCCTCCGCCCTTAAGCCAATTTGGAATTTCAATCTCAATCCCATTCTTACACAACACATACTTCTCCCTGCCCTAGGGGTTACCCACTGGAATAAAATTTCTTACCGTCAGCAACAAAGACCTTCTTTAGTCAATGAAACGAAATAACCACATAGATAGATGTAGTGAATTCAGGCATGTTTTCAGGTGTTAAATGTGTTTATTAATTTGTTTTAAATTACAGAGCTAATGCGTATTTTTGAAAATTAAATATATAAAAGCATATAAAGTAAAAAGTGAATGTCCTTTACTGTTCATATTACTAATAAAATTATTTAGAAAATTGCCTTTCACTGGACAGTATGATTTCTGTTGGTGGATATAAGATATATATGAATCATATACAAGTCTTCTATTCCATTCAGCTGGATAGGTTTAAAGGACAGAGTAAAGGAGAATATCTTCTAGAGGAAACCGGTTAGGATTTATGCCATTTAAAATACGATTTCTAAATTGCTTAAGCCTATCTATCAAAATCTAAATGGAATATTTAAAATCAGCATCACATAAAAGCAATATTCTGTGAAATGATTTCTGAACTGCAAAAATCTGTCTTTCAGACCTAGCATCTGAGAGCATAGAAACTGGATAGATTGCTGTATTGGAAGCGTCACCCGATTTCCTGCAGAAGGTTGCACTTGACTCATATGGGAATATTCCAAGGAACATAGGATCCAGGTGTGTCTCTTGGAATCTAGAGCAAAAGGACAGATTTATATGTTTACATTTGGAAAACATTTGTGACAAGTGAAAACCTGCAGAATATAAAATAAGAAAAAAACCACCCAGAGGGCAACCAGGACAATGGGAGGTGAGGCAATGGCAACATGAGAAATGTGGAGGAGTCCTGGGGTCAGGCGGGCGAGAGAGAGTCACCGAGCCCTCCTGGGGAGGGGCCAGTGAGAAGTGGAATCGGCCTGCGCTTCTCCAGAATGAAGAGGTGATTCATGGGGTTAGGAAAAGCTATACGGGGCCGCACAGAGTCAGCAGGAGAGGAGGTGTGGGGGGCTCGCCCCTCAATACAGAAATAAACAAGAATAACTTTTTTATTGTCAGCGAGGTCACTGAGAATGACATGAATTCCTCCCACATTTAAAAATCTTGTCACGGACAATGACCGAGGAGAGCTGAGATGTTCGCCTGGCAGGGTGTGGATGCGGGCGGGGTTCCTGCTACCGGGGCTTGGGGAAGGGCCCTCTGAGCGTGCGCACCTCAAATTCGCAACTGCACACACTCCCAGTGCCTGGCTGGGGTGGACTGCGAGCGACTGCTGGAGTGGCCGGTATCCTCGGCCTGAGTGTCTCAGGCTCTGGGCACAGTTTCTGAACTTCTATTGAGGACCAATGTGTCCTGGGGAGAAAACCAAGCAAGAGAGGAACAAATCACTGATGGCAAAAAAATAAACCTTTTTTTTTTTTTTTCCCCAGTGATATAGATCTGAGCCCCACTGCGGGCCAGGCAGGGCCTGGCTGATGGAAACAGGCAATTCAAGGGCCACTCCACTCTTTTGCTCAAATGCCCTCAGGATTCTGGTCACCTTTTCCTCCATGGAAAACAACCATGGTGGGTTAATAAAACTTGACCACAAAGACAAGGGACGGAAATTCAAAATTTTATGAGCAGAACACACCATTTCTGTGAACTTATCTTCACAGGCCATTCTAATCTTCTCCGGGATCAGCAGACTATTGAACCTTAATGCTCCAAGCAGGCCTCTCTCCCGTCGAGCTGCATTCACCGGGTCGTGGATGGCGAAAAACACCGAGCCCCCCAGAAACACCCCAGACTCTCCCACACCCTTGAGGGAGAACAAGTGAACTAGATTATGACTCTCTCTCCCCCACCCCTCTCTCTCTCTCTGTCTATCTGTATATACATGTATCTGTGCCTCAATAGGTATATATGTGCATGTATAAAATATTAAATATTTTATATATAACTTTTCCCTCGAAAAGTAATTTACTATTTAAACCCAATATTCCCATTCTTAGAATTCTAGTCTAAGGAAATGATCCTAAATTTAAAAAGGAGATATAGGCATGAAAATGATTTTTGCAAGGTTAAAAAAAAAACAAAAACCAGATGCAACCTGATGGCAACAGTGGTTTGTGCTAGGTGCCAACATTGAGAGGTATTTTAAAAATATTTATAATGTTGTTAAATTATTTTGTAATTAAAATGTTTAATGAGGCTTTTTCTTTTACATTCCTGGTAAAAACCGCAAACAACAAGAGATGAATGTAGCTTTTCCCTCCCTGCACGAGGATCACATGAACGTGCATTTATTCAGAGAGCGTAGCTTACCTTGGAGGAGTACAGGGTTTTCGAGTTTTGAGATGGAGGCAACAAAGAGACGTGGAGCTCTGTGGGGGTGTCACAGACGGTGGGGATTTTATACTGGCCTGGACCGCGAGTGCACAGGACACCCTGAGGAGAGTAGCTCAGCTCCTCGATCGTAAAAAGTCCAATGGCTTGAGTAAATGCACCTTCAATCTGAGGCAAAAAAATAAATAAATAAATCAATTAGAATTTCCACGTATGTGAAAATACAGTCAACGGTGGCATCAACGTCATGCTGTTTGTCTGAATTTTTAAAATGCAGTGTAAGAGGGTTTTCAGCGTGTCTTGGACAATGCCTCTGGAAGTTTACTTAAAAGTTTACCTAAAAGCATTTCTAAACATCTTATGAGTGTTCAATTCAAAGTCAAAGGCCTTGAGGTGAAATCTCAGCTTGATATTAAAATGTTAAAGGTCCTAGGGGAGGCCTCAGAGAGCCCGTAGCTCAAATGGTCTCTTTTCTCCCGGATGACACTCTCATGGACTGATGTGTCCACAGACGGGCCCTGTGGAGAGCCAATCCTCTCATCCTAACATCCGCGTGGCGAGCTGGCTGGCCTCACATCTCTGGACTCAGTTTCCTCACTTGTAACATAAAGTGTATGAACTCTGTGTTCTCTAAGCTTCCCAAACAGCTTTGAAATGCTCCAGTTTATAGATGTGCTAGACATTTGAATATTTATGTAAAACAGCTTGTGATTTTTCAATCCTGTCATGTACTTCAAATTTAAATTAAAAAAGCCTGTGGGCAAAATAGGCTATCTATCCAGTCACTACTGCTGCAGTTACTTGATGTTTGTTATCCCAGCCCAATTTCACACTCCTTGAAGCTAAAGACCATCATATAAGGCTCAGCACTTAGCACTCCATCTTACTTCTCTCCCAGATGTGGGGCTCATTCTGTCCCCTCAAAGCTTAGTCCCCCTCAGTCTAGCTCCCCCCTGGCAGGCTGCATGTTTCTTCAAATAATACCTAAAACACCTTTGTTCCCTTCGTTATTTTTTAAAACTACAAGAGATGTGAGTTCTGAGGCTGGTCTGAACAGAAAGATTCCAACTACAGAAGTAGAAAAGTAAGATGAAGCATAAGTTAGATGGGATATTTTCCCTGAAGATCCTCATAGCAGTTTTGGCTTTTACAAATAGGAAGGGAGGCAAATCGGTCACACGTACCTGGCCTATGTCATTGGCTGGATTTATACTCTAACCAATATCCATGACAATGTCTGTTCTGATGTTCTAGTAATAAAAAAAGTAAAAATGTTTACTGTGATGAACACAACTCAGGGAAAGAAAGCTGAGAAATTGTTCCTGCCAGGATGGCATTGGTATAGAACCTTTCTTTGGACCACATTATATTTCAAGAGAAAGAAGCAATATTTTATGTCACACAGTTTGTTATATATAAATTTCAGAGTTATACAAACACTCTTAACCAGCTTAAGCACTGATTATTTTTACTGGAAACAATGGGAGAAAAAAATACTTACTTGACTTTGATTCTGAGTGATGTAACATACTAAGTTTAATCCACTATGATAGACATGCGTTATGACACAGAAAACAGAAAACATCTATGGCTCACAAGACCCTTGCTGCAAAACTTTGTGGCAACCACAGCGCCCAACAACCAGAGTCCAAATGGCTGCTTGACATTTACTGAATCACAGAACTCAGGGTGTACATCAGCAAAAAAAAAAAAAAAAAAAGTCTTTCAATTGTTATCTGTTCCAGATTTTTCATTTTTAGAGCAGAAGAGAGAATAAATCGAACATTGAAATTTGGTGACTGAAAATTCTCTGATAACATACAAATGAAGAGAAAGACAGCAGGCCCAGCCAGGCTGGTGGTGACACCTTCGGTCTCCAGCATGTCTGTATTTTCTTTTATGTGACATCATAGTCTCATAATGGCCATGGCAAATAGATTCTACTTCTAATTATTGATGGAACAATGGAAACTCAAAAGTGTCCTTATTTGATAAAAGGCTTTCATCTAACATATTTCTTATGAAAATTAGGTAGTGATCCAGAATGTTCTACTATAATAAAACTTCAGGCACTTACCTCTCTTATTTAAAGACACAATGAAATGTAAAGTTCTCTTTGACACCAGTTAGTAAGGCTGGCCTTCCATGACACGAGTGGCCTCAGATGGAGGGGAAGGGAAGGGAAGGGAGGGGAGGGGAGGTGCTTGCAAGTCTGCAGAGTTAGTAAAGATTTTGCTTTTAAGACTGTGGACTCACTACTACTTCTCATTGTCTTTTGATACGGCTAGAGAGAGTGGTTTTAGGTTGTGGTTGCCAGCCTGCGGAACGGCTCACAATGATCCCTACGTCCAGGTATCATAAGGATGAAGCCTTATGTAGACCCCTCCTCTGCTTTACCAGGGTTGGTTTATGTGACCAATAGGATTGGCAGAAGTAATAGGATGTCACTCCAATACTGGGTTATAAAAGACTGTGGCTTCTATCTTGTTAGCAGATTATAAATACGTATGAAATCCTTCAAGAATGTCCTGTGATGGCATTTCACAGAAATGGTCACCATTCCCAGTTGTCCCAACAGTCTACATGGAAGCCCCCTTTAGGCTGCGTTTCTTCCTGAAAGTGGTTTCTTTCCTTATTCTGTTCATAAGGGCCAGGGAAATAAAGAGGAGAGGCCACTGGTGGTTTTCCATGGGAGCAACCATTGCACCAAGGCTGAGCTTCTATTTTCTTCTGGTAACACAGAGAAATTATCTGTCGGCCAAACGCATGGTGTTTTCATGGTGCTCAGAGAGATGGGATGTGTGGGATTTTGGTGGGTCTAGAGTGCAGCCCGAACGCCCTCCCAGCCGGTACCGACCTTACAAGCGCCTGTCAGGCAAGTCTATTTCAACTTCGCAACAGGAGGCTCCAAAGACAAAGTAATCAAAAACTGGCCTTCACCTGTCTCCCAGTCAATGGTTGACTCGTAACCCCTGAAGAAAAGGATTCTTGAGATGTGTGGTTTTGTGATTGTCTTCTAATTGCAGACTGTAATGACTAACCAGACCCTCTAGGAGCTGAGCTCATTTGTATGCACTGCAAACCAGAGGAGTAGACTTGTACAGTGGTGTGCCAGACATAATACATGCTGTAAGTGTGCTGAATAAATCAGCATTTATTTCCTTCTTACTGTTTGTTTTGCCTGATGAAAACATCCAATGGCCCCCTACCAAGGACTCCTTATGCCTGGAAGCTAACTGCTGACAGCGGTAAGATTATCCACCCTAGTGCTTTGGGCCAGTATTGGTGCTTGTAATCCTATTGTCATCAGACTGGGGAATTCCACCCGCTTTTTACACAAAACATTACTTCAAAGGTTCTTACTGGCCTGTTTATTTGTCTTTCTGGCCTCAGGATTGAGCCTCCAGGTGTGGGGGATCAGGCCCCTAGGCTACCTCTCTCTGGCTTTGAGTCTACTCTGCTCTCCCAGGCCTCCCGCTGCCAGCTCCTCTTGACGGACACCAAACGGATGTCAAGGTGAAAGAGAGGCATAGGCCAGCAGCTTGCCAGCACTTTCTGCCCTTTCTTCCTCTCTCTGCGAGCCAGGAGGTGGCCCTTAAAAAAGCTCAAGGTGCTTTCTCCTGACAGGCAGCCTGCACCCTGGGACGCCCCTGACAACTGGCCAAGCGCCAGAGTCGGGTCAGGCTCTCCGTGTCACCCTGCTCTCTGAGGGCTGTCACTCTCTATTTAAATAATTAGATCATTTGTTTTCCAAAGCATGTGAGCTCCAGTTGTTCTGCGTCTTGTTAATACATTGTTATCGTCAAATGTCTTCTTTTGCCAGTCTAGAAAGTAGAAATGGTGTTGATCTTATTATGGGGTTGATTTCCATTTTCAAATCTTTGTGTCCTAACTTAAAGGATACACTGAGTGTTCAACAAAAGATGAGCCACTGCTCTGGGTTCCCGTTAAGTGCTCTGCCCTAACTCCACAGAACCCTCTAGAACTACCCAGTATAATCTGGATCATCAATTCAGCTGTATTTTATTTGTGTGCCTATTTTTCCCAATAAAAGCCTTTCTGGACATTTGGATTAAGGAGCAGCTAAATGTTCTTTATAACAGTGGGTCACTAGAAGGTACAAAATCAATTGGTGCTAAAATTGCAAACAGAAGGAAACTCTTCCTCAAGGTGCCACGGCTACTCTCCTAGCCTGCGACTCAAAGGACCGTTTACCTGAAGTATCCAGTAGCTGAGAGACGAAGGCTTTCATCAAAAGCAGCCTGCGCCTGTGAAAGAAGAGTATCACATGCTACAATAAGGATGTTTAAAATAAGAATCACTTCCCACTCCAATTTTAACTTTAGTATGTGTTAAATAAAGCTATCGGCGGTAATAACTAGGAAGAACCAACATCAATTTATCCCTTTCGGTGTTCTCCATCTCCACAGGCCTTTGTGGTTCACTGGTTGTGGTAACAGCATTTGCTCAATGTGTTATCACGGCAATAAGTGATACCCTGGTATGTTACACTCGTAGCTTGGATGGTGCTGGGCAACCCATATTCGGCTTTTAAAAGCCTGTCACTCAGTCATCTGGAAAGACTAAGCCTATTGACATAAAACATTTCAGGAAACAATGGGGGGTTGGATGTTTAATTTTTAAGTCATATATCTATAATAGTCACAGGAGAGGGGTAATAAATATTTTGCTGAATTATACCATTAAAAAAAAAAGTTTCCCCTGACTTTGTAGTGCACACAGTTGACTAATAGATGAACAAGTGGGGGTTAGGTCCAAGTCCCCAAGTCTGAGAAAGGAAGTATGGGAAGTGCAACCATTAGAGAAGAAAGTAGGCTGAATGGCGGCTTCTATGATGGGGGAGGACTGGTCCGCTTCCTCTGAGTCTCACCCCTGGGAGACGGAGTTTCTCCATCCAGGCTCTCTCAGCCCTCCTGGGCCAGGCAGCACAGGGCAGAGGGCAGAAATAAGTATGTCCCCAAAGGACTGAGAGCTCCCATAAACATGAGTTATAGAACGAGTCCTAATTTTGTGGAAGAGAAAGAACCGTTTCCATGTCGTACTTCCCAAATGCCATTTCCTCCAGACCAATGCTTTTCATGTGACATTCTAGAACAGGCATCATGGCACATACTCCCAGCCTTTATTGCTATCCATTCCATATCATCTGAAACTTTAGAGCTTACTACTCTAAAAAATTTGCTAGTTGACTTTAAAATGCATGTTTTCTCTTCCAACTACATCATAAGTAGATCAAAGGAAGCAGTTAAATATTTCCATTCCGTTCCAACTATTGGTTGACTATCTACCCAATGGCTTGCTTTTCTATTCCTAAGTAAGTGTTTATGTGGTTTTTAGTTTTATAGAAGAAGAAATGGGAAGTGTTTTCTTCCCATTTTAGGAACAGTGGAACCCAAAGAAGGAGAACAAACAGACTTACAGCTATTATCTAGAAAATACATAGGTTCTATAGGAAGAAATATTAATTAATTCTTGCTTAAAATAAAGATTCTGATAGGAAGTACAGTCAATAGTATTGTAATAACTATGAGTATATATGGTACTAGATTTATCAGGTAATCACTTAGTAAGTTACATAAATGTCAAATCACTGTGTTGTAAAAAAAAATTATACTGTATGATTTCAATTAGACAAAGCAAATTATCAAAGTGAACACTTTAAATATGTGCAGTTTATTGTATGTTCATTATACCTCGGTAAAGATATTTAAAATGAAAAATAAACACATTAAAACATTTTTTAGGTTGCTTCCAACACTTCAGTAGATGATTGGATCAAAAAATTATGGTACATATACACAATGGAATACTACGCAGCAGAAAGAAAAAAAGAACTACTAAACTTTGCGACAGCATGGATGGAACTGGAGAGCGTTACGCTAAGTGAAATAAGCCAGGGGGCGAAAGACAGATACCATATGATCTCACCTATAAGTGGAACCTAACCAACAATACAAAGATGCAAGGAGAATAAGACCAGCAACACTGAAAGGGAAAGAAATCAACAGAGACAAGAGGGAAGGGGGGGGACGGGGAAAAGGAAGGGAAGGGGAAAGTCAAGGAACATATAGCAAAGACTCATGGACAAAACCAAAGGGGAAGAGCTGAGGGAGGGAAAGAGGGAGCGGGCAAGGGAAAGTGGTGGGGGGTAGGCAGAGACAAATGTATTTGAAAAAATAAATTAAAATAAAATTTAAAAAATATAAAAAAATAAAAATAAAATAAAATGATTTCACCAATAAAAAAAATAAATAAATAAAACATTTTTAAAAAAGAGTTCTGGACAGACAAACCATCTTTTTCTCCAACACAGGATTTTCTTCCATCACACCATGAGGCAATCTCCACATGCCCAGAGCCAAAGAGCCTCTGCTTGTCGCTATGCCACCGCAGTGCCTGTTGAAGTGCTCTTTCTGTTGATAGTTCACTCACATGCATCTCTTTCACTTTCCCCCTCCTTTACGCTAACATAAAACACAAAGAGATCCTCACCCAGTCCTTCCAAGTGCCTTGAGGATTCTTGCTGATGATGGGTTCAAGGCGCTTCAGGAGAGTTTGACAAGCATCCTAGGGATTATGTTTTAGTTAAAATTCTGATCACAATTTTACACAAACACCAATATCAAAACCGCATGATATGTGCCGTTTGAGGCTTATTTAGGAGGCCCAAGGACATGGCGGGGAGGCCCATCTGGTAAGAGGTGACATGGCCGGTCTCATGGGGGTGGGCTGAAGCGTGGCTGCCTAGGATGGGGGCCACGCTAGGAGGTCAGGACTTAACAGAAAAACGGGTGGCACACCACCAGCCACTAATTTTAAACACAGCTATGGTCGGATTTATTTTGTGGGGAAGTTCACTCTGGCAGCAGGAAATTGGCGTGAAAAGCAATGAAGCCAGGGTGGAGAGAGCGAGCCTGCAATGGCCCTGAGGGGGGCGTGAGCCTGAACAGAACGGCCTCAGTATCAGGACACGGCAGTGGAAATGTCTCTTTCTACAGAGACGTTTTTGCACAGAATTGCAATGACTTGCTAACCAGTGAATTGTCATAAGGGAGGGAGAAAAAGAGGTGGCATTTCCAGCTCAGGAGAGTGCCTGGGTGCTGTGCTGCTGACTGAGCTGGAGACTGGGGAAGGGAAGTTTTCACTGAGAGGGTGTGGGAAGGAGATGAGAGCTGGGTTAATTCTTAACATCTTCTGAGTGCCGCCCACGTATTGGTCCTGATGGGGTTAATAATTTGGATACTACTGCAAGGATTCTTACCTTTACTGCAAACCCATTGACATCTGCCACCAAAGAAGCTCCAGAGATATTTGTATTAGGGACAGTTTCTGTGCTTGTTCCACACAGGTGGATACTGGACAGTGGTATCCTTAATTCATTAATAGCCACCTGGATTTTAGAAGAGAGTATTTTTCCCCCCAAATACTTTGTTTAGTCACAGACCTACGCATGTGCCCACAGTAGCATCTATGTCAAATCCTGATATGCCCAATGGGGACTAGTGGGCAGGATCATAAAATTCCTCCAGCTGCAAAAGATTCCTTTATATAAAAACCCTGTAGCTAGTGTGGACCCCAAGCCTTGAGCACATTTTCTTTTTCTTTGACTCTCTCATGTGCAATAGCATCAGGAAGAGGAAACAAGGCCCCACACCAAGGTAGGAGGAGGTGCTTTATGTCTTTGTCATCATGAAATGAACACCTCTGAGGCCTTTCCCACACTCTGCTCTGAAGAATTCTAGAAAAGCCAACCCTCTGAGAAAGGAGATGCCTTATCCACATTTCTGGAGGTGGCCCGGGAAAAGAGCCCCTCTGAGGAAGAACAATGGCCTTGTTAAAGCAGCAGCGCCAACACGCGCTCACAGCAGACGGTGCCATGGCCGCTTGCCAACACAGGATGTAGCTGGCTGCTTTGTTCCTCCTCTGTTTTCGGTGCTGGGGGGCAAAGCCACATTACTCATTTCAGCTGATCCAAAATTCTCCTCTTTCCTGCAAGCAGCATAGCTTAATAGAATCTGTTCACAGCCGTGACAAGCACATGGTCATATGGAGTCCTTCTAGACCACTGACTTTCAGAAGATCATCTGCACAAAATACATAAGCTTAGACATAAAGGCCTGGTAGCCCCATTAAGAAAACACTGACGTCTCACCCCTAAATTGGAAAGAGATATGACCAGACAATTCTCAAGTGACTGATAACATAAAAGAAAATATATATTCAGCATCTCTCTAATCAGAAAAATGCAAATTGAGCAATAAGGAGGCACTATCATTCACCTGTTGGTTTATCTAAGATATTAAAACAATCCATAACATACAATGTTGGTTAGTAGTGTAATGAGATGGCTACTTTCTGGAAAACAATTTTGTACTGTGTGTCAAATGATTAAATTGTAACAGGTTTAATAAGGTATTTGTGGGGGAAAAAAAAAGATATACTCTATGGCCAGTAATTCCATTTCTGAGGATCTATTCTAAGAAAATATTCATTGATTTGATCACAGGTTTATGAAAAAAAATTCATTGAAATGTCCAACAATTGAGGAAGGTTAAATAAATTATATATACACCCATATGCAGCTGTTACATATCATAAGTGCAAAGAATTCTTAATGACAGGGAGGAGTGCTCACTCTATGTAAGGACAGGTGAGGAAAACAGGATAAAAATTAGATAAACAACATATGAGCAATTTGAGGGGGTGGGGAGTCAAGATGGAAAAAAAAACCCCAAACAGTGATTATTGCTAAGTGGTAGAATTATGTAGGGTTCTCTAAAAAAGACTTATTTATCTCTTACAAATGTTTTATAACCTGTATTATTACTACTATGATTAGCAAAATAGAAACAGTAAAAGTTACTCTAAAGTACATGAGCCCAGAGGAAACTGGTAGAGCTTGGTTAGAAATACCATATGTGATTTATACTATCAATTGTTCAGAGTCCTCACTGTAAAAAAGCCAGAACTAGTGCAGTACATCAGAATTTACACATCATTCTATCGCCTAGCAAAGGTTTTTAAAAAGGCAACTCACTTGTTAATATATCTAAAGGAAAGCAGCAAATAACCATACAGCCTGGTTTAGCAATAAGACAACCCGAGAATCTTCTGCCACATTCTTTTAAGAGGCTCAGTTGCAAACTGTCTTGTTTATCCAGTTTCTGTTTATAGCTTAACAGTTTAAGTGGTCAAAGCAAAAGCCTCCTCTTCTTTGTGTTTTGGAAGAGAGAATGTACATTCAGTTTCTCCCTTACACCCGTACCTATAAGCACATATCCATCTTCACCCAATTATTTGCATTCTTACCTGAATCATTTTGGTGTGGACCACCTGCCCCACTTCAATTCCACCATGGGTCACCAGCACAGACCTGTCTAGATAAATGTGAACCAGGGCAGCAGCCTATGCAAAAAACATAGAAACAGTTTCCATGATCTTTTTGACTGATATTATCGTATATCTTGTCAATTAAAACTTTTTCCCTGGAAATAATCCCCTCTCTTCCATCTCCTGCGAAAATTATCCACAGACACTCTCTCCGTTGCCCTGAGAGCACTGAACAAAGTAAGGGCAACGCTGGGGCATCTCATGACCACCCACAAGAGGCTGGATTGCTGGCGGGTATGTTTTGAGACTGGGGCAGGACTCTGCTCCTTAGGCTACTATTTCCTCGCTGGGACATTCGAGCTCACTGGTACCTTTCAAGGATATCCTGACAAGGGCGGGGCAACAATTTCGGTTTGGGGTTTTCCTTGGGAGGAAGGCGTCAATTTAAGATGCAAAGTTAAATCTGCAATAGATAGTTTAGGAAACAGGGAGAACAATTATTTATATGAACACACAGTCCCACAGTTGTAGGTTGTTACAGAGAAGCAAAAATGAAAATCCTACTAAGATGAAACAGACAGACATTAAGTTTTTCACTGCAAAATGAGCTAAGCCTACTCTAAGTCCTCTTGGCACAGAATTGCAGAGCTTTCATTGAAAGGGAACTTGGAAGTAATCTTATCTCACTGTGAAGCTCTCAGAGGGATCCAGAAGGAACCAAACTGCTAACAGAATTAAAGGCTGCTGTAATCAGAAGCATCCAAACTCTAAGCTAAACATGTTTTACAATTAACAAGAATATGCCATCTTTCAAGTCTGCTCATGCTAAGCTAGGGAGTATGGAAATATCTCAGGAAACTGCAGAAAACAAGGAGGCTCCTTCAGTTTGAGTCTCCAGTGTAAGAGCAATATTAACAGCATATGGTCATAAGAAAATGCTCCTGATGCTGTGGTTCAGAAAGGCCTGCAAGGCACACCTGTGCAGCTGCTCCACTGGGATGTGCCAACCCCATAGATGAAGTCTGGAGCTGCCAGGGGTCATTTGAAGCTCTATCAGCGAGGTTTCTAAATATCTAAGTGTCCATCCACAGTGGCATAATTATCTAGGATCTGTAAAGGCAGGGTCTTCAGAAAATTCTAGTAACAAGCTAATTTCCATTTAATAAAACTAAAATCTTAGTATGCCTTTATTACACACTGAGATTACTTATAAACAACCTTGGTCATAAACCAAAGTCAATGGACTCATATGTCAATCACCAGGTACATCCCAAAGAAAGGACGGCATTCCTAGATCAATTTCTTCCCAGAGCCACTTGTGGGCCACTTTATTGGTGTCCAAAGGTCCACATTACTCCAACGAGTGACAGGAAGTAGCCTCTATCATTCCAAGTAAGACACTTTGATGGTGAAAATGGATTCTATTCACTTGGTCACAGGTATAAACTATGGATGTAATGGGAAAATAGGGATATAGGGGTACCCTGTCTCCAAGGATAAAGGTGCATACATTCACAGCCCAAGGGAGAATTTTAGAACCTTAAGAAAACCGTTGTAGCCATTATGATCAGCCCAAGGGCTTGGGAAGACAGAGCAGAGTGTGTTTTACTGTCTGTTGACACGTCCCTCCTGGAAACATTGTACTATGCTCCCGGCCATTTGTTCTCAAGACAATAAAGGTCAGGAGTGACATTCTCTGCAGAGAGCCCAAGGCCCACTGCCCTCAGGTTGTGTGTTTGACGTCACCTGATGCCAGCTGCAGCGGCTGCTTCTGGGCTCTATTCTGTGGCACTTTGTTGTGCTCTCAGCTAGAATATGAGTCCCTGAAAGGAAAAACCATGGTCCTAAGGCATCCTTTGGAATGCAACGTAACACCTCACACATAGTAAGTGCTCAATAAAAATTTGATAAGTGAATTTGCAGCAGCATAGCCATTCGATCTGCTTCTTGAGCCTGTAGGCTCTATATTTGTCCCCTTGCTCAGCTAGCATTTCAGAAGTTGTGAGTGAAATTCATAGCTGGCACGTATGAATGAGTGACAATTACAGTGAATTGTGCATGTCTTACATTGTGTGGCCCTCCTGGCAGCGGCCCTTTGCCTGGGTGTCTGGGGCAGCATTTCTATCACAGGCCACTCAGTAATTTGTTTCATGTGCTGCTGCAATCTCCCTGGGGCCATTTTCAATGTCAAATTTGGTGCAGTTAAGTGGCACCACTGGATGGTTCATTGTTAGCACCACGAAAGATAATCTCTTGAAACTTCGCCTATGAAATAGGCACAACTGGAGCGTTAGAACAGATGGTTCTACAATGTAAACTGGGGACTTAGCTTGTGAAATTGAAGTCTTCAAGTAATGACTGCTGGTATCGGTGAGAAGTTTGCTCTGGTCCCGCAGATTCCCAAATGCCTCAGCCGTTCAAACATCTGCGTTCTTATTCTATGCCAGCTTCCATACTAGGATACTGGGAATAGAGGTTAATTAGATATGGTGTGTCCTTTGATGTTCTTGCTGAGGAATTAAAAAATGTAGGTGAATATGTTGGGAGAGCAAGGGCTGCTTCTGCTCAGGGAGGTGGCATGGAATGACACAGGACCGTAGGATCTGTTTCCCGACAGTCACTTTCTTGCCCAACAGCATCACTAGCTGGATGTCCCTGGGCAAGGCAGCAAACTTCTACGGGCTTCAGTTTATAAAATAGAATCACATCTACCCAACAGATAGGGGTGCAATCAAGTGGGAAATTACAAATCACCCAGCCTAGGACCATATACATAGAAGGTGCTCAAATATCATTTCTGGTTCTTGCCTCTATTTGATCTGCTTCAGAATAGGTTTTCAGCATATGGCGTCTAGGAAGCAGCTTGACTGATCTCAGATTCTTTGATTCAGCCCTAAACAAATGTTTTAAAGATGGAAGCCAGCTAATTTCCAAGGAAGAACAGGAGGGGCTGGTGGGTGAGGGGAGCTTTTCAGTAGCCTTTGAGAATGAACTTATACTGCTAGCTGTTGCCTGGTTTCTTCCCTGCTGTGCTGAATCCCACCTCAGTTCCAACCATAAGGCTCCAGAGAGGGGCAGCCTGAGGTAGGTGAGAAAGCACAGCTCCTGCAGCCTCCCAGACCTGAATGTTAGCCCTGGCCCCGCCTCTCATCAGCGGTAAGACTTGGGCAAGTTATTTAAGCTCTCTGAGCCTCAGTTTCTCATCATTAAGATAAGGCTACCAACCTTATTGGTTGCCCTGAGGGTTGAACATAATAAAATCTAAAAGAACTTACAATATAGTAGGCGCTCAGTAATCATAATTATTTTTTTATCTACTTTTTTGAGAAATTTCTGATGAGGGAAATGAGACAGACCCTGGTCTACCAGGGGCCAGATATTAAGTAATGGCAGCCATTAAATAGAGACAGCTGCCATGTCTACTGCAGCCTAATGCCCAAGGATTTCCATACAATCCATAACAATGGAGATTGTTTTCCCTGTGAGCCTAGCCTGCCTGCTCAATGACAGATAGCCCAGGCTGACTACTTGCAAGTTGACAGCAAATCAGTTTACTCAAAACTCCATGCCAGGAGTCCCTGCTCACTATGCCTTTTTTTAGTGGTACTTTCCCCCTCTTCCTTTCTTTTGAATAACCTTGTTTTTGCCTTTATTCCTCAACCACAGCTTCTAGACTGTCTCCCTCATCCGGGTAAATCAGGTGCAGATGACTAAATGACTCTGTTGTTTTTGTCCTCACAAACAGGCAGGAGATGGGACGGCTGTAATAAGATCACCACTTGTATTGTTACACTGTCCCTCTGAGCAAATCCACCTACAATCAAAACTGCATGAAACGTTCTGATGATCACATCAAAGCTGAACCAAGATGGGTGCGTGAACAGATGACTATGGAAAGGAGGCAAGGACCTTCCCGCCTGCTTCTCTTGACTGCCTCTGCTCTCCCAACATCCAGCTTACACCCCACTGCCCTTCACAGAGCCACCCCCATGTACCCCTGTTCTGTCACCACTCAACACACCTGCCATGTCTTCACCACGGCTCAGCCAAAGGGGTGAATTCTGCAAAGGGGAGTGACAATCGTTTTGAGGGCTCTGCCATCTTATCCACATATGTGTACATATATGTATACGTATATGTAAGAACGTAGATAACAGGGGTCCCATATCACTGCTGAACAATGAGCTAGAAGAGATCAGTCCTTCATCAGCTGTTCTGGGTAAGATTCACTCAAGAATGAAGAGGTGGAGACAGAAAGTGAGATTTAGCAACCAAGCAGGGAGTATATTTAGTCGATCAAAGAAATTAAACTACAAGAATAGATTTTCAGTCTTTCCCTTCACAGTTTTAATGACGAGGAAGTGAACAAATTCCTAAAATTGTGTTTTAAAAATGATTTAAGTGATTTAACTTTCTGGGTTCAGTTTACCCTCACCTACCAAAAAGGGGAGGGGCACCAGTAGCCTGTAGCTTCCTGATGCTATTTCATGGTCCAGAGACACAGATCCTAGAGGAGTTGAAAGAGGAGTCTTGGCAGTCATTGGTCCCACCTTCTTACTTTATATTCGAGCAATCTGGGGCCCAGAGTGAGTCAACTCAGCTGTTTCATTGTCTGGGCCAGGAGTAGAAATCAGGTGTCCCGATTTCCCAGGAGGGATGCTTGTCACCAACCCTGGGAACATGGGCTCTTGTCTCCTCTGGAGAAAAGCTACTTTGGTTGACCACAACTTTGGTAAAGTTTAACAAGCAGGTTAATTCACCTTAACAAGCATGGCTGATTCACCTTAATTCCTGAACATCTTTAGATTCGTCTATTTGGAGAACTGACCTGACTCGAAGCTTGTGAGCCAAGGCCAACAGGGTACTTCAGGGGAACTATGGCCAGCCCCTTCTTCTTCCAGTAATTCTCTGAGTTGAATTTTTCCACAGCTGCTTTCCTCAGGGAGTAGGAAGACATGGCCATACATGGTTTCCAACACTCTATCAGGTTCTTGGTATTCATCTCTTGTTTGTAGGGTGTCTGATCAATTTCCTTGCACATGTTTATCATTCGTACCTATAAAAAAAAAAAGATGAAAAGGATAGGGTGGGGGGACTTGGCAGACAGACTTTTCCACCCACTGTCTCCTAGTCAAAATCTGCTCATCCTATTAAGACCCAAACTGAGTTCAACACACGCCTTGTTGAAGCCTTTCCCAATGTGCTGTAACACTCTCTTCTATTCAGAACCTCTTGCAAATGTTAGCACCCCCAGGCCTTCCATACTGCTCTTGTATAAGTTCAAGGGAAGGAATCTTTTCTTTATGTTTCTCATATAACTCAACCCAGTGCAGGTACATTGTATGCTCTTAATACCGGATGTTTGTGAATAGCTGTTGAAAGGTAATCTTGAATTTAATTTCCAGACTACATGATCTACATGATTCAGATAATTCAGATGCTGAGGCAAAATAAGATCACTTACTTCCAAATGGGACAATATGAAAGTCTCTTTAAATATAATCTGTAACTAGGATGAAGAACAAATTAAAAGATTCCACCCTAGGATGCATGAAGTACTAAGGAAAATCGTTCCTGAATTCCCAGAATTGGAGATTAAGACCCACAGCTGAGAACAGAGGGTCAAGTACTTCACATTCTCAGTTGAGAAAACTCAGCAGTTGAGGCCAGTCATCTCCTCAAGCTGACAGAGGCCATTACAGACATACAGTCTCCCCATCCCCCTAAAAAATTCCCAGATCACTATAAAGAGATGACTGGAAATGAGTGAGCTGTGCATTTGGGGCAAGGCAGTGTTTTTAAAGGTGGCTATTCTTTCCTCCATCTTTCCTTGTGGATGAAGGGAGGTCATTATCTGATTTTCTTCCCCAGAGCTACCAAATGCAACAGAGCATCTGGGAGAGAGGCTGTGGGGAGATGACCAGAAAGGGAGAGGCAAGGATCCCCTAGAGGTTCAAGAGACATAAAGAAAATGGCTCCTGCCTGTGGTCCCAGAAATGAATTGGGGACAAGGGATTTTTAAGGACTGCTGCAGCCTCGGACACAGAGGCGTGGGCATCAGGGAATGCTGTATGCGGGGCAAGCTGAAGGCAGGTGAGCTTGAACCCCCTTCACAGAGGGCTGTTGATTTTCATGAGAACTGGCGGGAATGGAACCCAGAGACAACATACTTGAAAAGTAGCTACATCTAACCAAGGAGAGGACAGAGAGCTTGCTGGGAAGAGTCAGATGAGGAGATGCTGCCTGTTTTCCTGGCCCTTGGCTTCCTCCCTACCCGCAACGCTGCAGCAGAAGGCACTAGGGAGAAGGGCTGAAGCAGCACACCCTGTCCCCACCACTGTAACTTCACTCAAGGGATCCTTGGGTACAAGACGGGTAGTGAAGAAAACAGAGTTTGTGAATGATGGAGTTGAGACAGACAACGAACTGAAGCCAGACCATCGTAGTGACTGAAGTGACTGAAACTTTATAACAGCTGCCTGAAGTGTTATGGAAGCGGGGGAAAGAAGGGTGTGACAACTTGCAGCAGTTATCACCCCAACCAATGGAGACTTCTCACAAAACAAGTTAGAATCCAATGCTTACTCTTCAATATCTTCTTGCCCCCAGGATTTTTGAGAAGGAGCCCAAGTGAAAGTAGTGAGTTGGGTTACCTGGGGCAAATCATTTGGCTCCTGTAGGCCTCACATTCCTCAGCATGAATGACTCCCAATGCCCCTCTCACCTCTAAAATTCGGTATCTTTTGTGAATGAGACTAATTTAGTGCTACCTTCTCAGGGGACAACCCACACTTGGCTGCAATGCCTGTGATGCAGGATTCGGAGGTCAGCGCTGCCTCAGGAAAGCCAAACCCATGGAATGCTGTGCTGGGTGGAAGGTTGGTTCAACATGCCCACCCTCGGCAACGCAGGTTGGGGAACTTGTAACAATTATCCATTTTCAGAATTCTGTTTTCTAACACCTGGGGAAATCCAGAGTTGATGTGAGGAGACCCTTGTCCTTCCGTACCTGTTTTACCATCCTGAGATCTCAAACTGAAACCGGGTCAGAAATGACCAACTCTCTCGCAGTCACATCAAACATTCTAAGACCCATGTCTCAATTTAAATGCATGTTTGCTGTAAAATGATATTTAAGGATTTGAATAATTTTTCTTTTGAATTCTTTTTTAAAATTTTCATATTTTAGAGCAAGTGCATTTTCCCCAGATTTCAAAAATCCCATTTCCAAAAGCCCATGAAGCATTAATAGGCCCTAACCATTTAATTTATAGAATGAAATGAATATAAATAATATCCTAGAAAACAGGAAAAAATGATTTGGCATTTGGTCTAATGATTGGATCTCATCTAGGGCTAATTTTGTCCTTTTTTCTCCTGAGAATTTGGCAATGTCTGGAGACGTTTTTGGTTGTTAAGACTGGAGGGTAGCTATGCCGCTGAAATCTGCTGGGTAGAAGCCAAGAATACTGCTAAGCATCCTACAGTGTACAGGACAAGTCCCACGACAAAGAATTAACCAGAGAAAAATGTCAATAAGGCTGAGGTGGAGGACTAATGCTTGCATTTGGGATAAGAGCTGAAAGCAAGGAAACATGGAGATAACACACCGATGCAGACTTAGCCAATATCTTTGGGCTCATTTTGGAGACACCAGTAACATGTGGCTACCCTAAAATGAGGGCCTTTATGCTTTTATAATTAAATATTGTTTAGCTATTGAAAAGTTTCTGAATTAAACCATTTTAAGTAACACTTTCCAGAATGTCAACTTGCTCCTTAAAATACTTACCAATAATGACTTATCCAGGGAGGCGCCTCCACTGCTCTCATGCTCCATATCCAGGGCCAAAATTCGGCCGTCATTCATGAACCCAGCCTGCAGAAAGAGAATTGACATTTGATACTACTGCTGCGGGCCAAGTCTCTCTAAAGTGTGCTTTGTCACTTGTGAATCCTCCACACATAGGCTAAATGCTTCATGACATTGGATTTGGTAATGATTTCTTGGATATGACACCAAAAGCAGCAGCAAAAAAGAAATAAATAAAGTAGACTACATCAAAATGAAAAACTTCCATGTATCAAACGACACAATCAACAGGGTGAAAAGCCAATCCAGCAAATGGGATAAAATATTTGCCAACCATATATCTGTTAAAAGGTTAATAACTGGGATGTATAAAGAACTCTTTCAACACAACAACAAAAAACAGTTTGATTAAAAAGTGGACAAAGGACTTGAAGAGACATTTCTCCGTAGAAGATATACAAATGTCCAGTAAGCACAAGAAAAGATATTCAACATCACTAATCGTTAGAAAAATACAAATCAAAACTACAGCATACCACCTCACATCCATTAGTATGGCTACTATTAAAAAAAAAAACAACAGAAAATAGTTAAGTGTTTGTGAGGATGTAGTGAAATTGGAACTTTTGTGCACTGTCAATGGAATGCAAAATAATGTATCTGCAATTGAAAACAGTATGGCAGTTCCTCAAAAAATTAAAAGTAGAACTACCATATGATCTAGCAATCCCACATCTAGGTATTTATCTAAAATAATTGAAGGCAGGATCTCAAAGAGATATTTGTACACTTATGTTTATAGCAGCATTACTCACAACAGCTGAGGGGTAATAGTAACTCAAGTGCCTGCCAATGGATGAATGGATAAACAAAATGTAGCATATACATACAGTGGAATAGTATAAAGCCTTAAAAAGGGAGAAAATTTTGACATTCTATAATATGTATGAACTTTAAGGACATTATGTTAAGTGATATAGGCCAGTTACAAAAGAGCAAATATACTGTGATTCTATTTTTATGACTAGTCAAATATGGAGAGACAGGACGTAGAGTGGTGGTTTCCAGGGGCTGTTGAGAGAGGAAGGAAGGGGAGTATTGCTTAATGGGTGCAGAGCTTCAGTTTTACAAGATGAAAAGGATTTTGGAGGTGGATGGTGCTGACAACTGTGGTGAATACTTAATGCCACTGAAATGTGTACTTAAAAATGACTAAGATAGTACATTTTATGTTATGAGTATTTTGCCACAGCTAACAATAATAATGAAAAAGGAAAAAAGGAAGGGTAGAGAAAGATAAAAAAGCAAAACAAACAGAAACTCTTCCTGTTTAATCTATCACTACTATTTAATCAATCCTTTTTTCTTCTTGTAAAGCAAAGCAATGATGTATTTGTAGACCACTCATTCTTGCCACCCTTGAATTATGGCTCCATGCTCACATTTCTCCTAATCTTCAAATCTGGTGGCTGCTCAGAATGTACCCTGCACATTTTTTTCCACAGGGCCATTTTCAGTCAACATTCTCAGCAGCATTTGGCGTTGCTGAAAGTCTGTTAAATAAATACCTTCCTTGCTTTTAAGATGCATCCAATATTCCTGTTTTCTCTCTGTGCACTGCTTCAATATCTCTGAACTTATTAAAGTTCACTGTAATGATTTTTACTGAATGGAAACAAAATCAAACTGTGAATTTCAGCAGTTTGAAGTTGAGGCTTGGCTCTGCTACTTAACCCGTTGTGTTCCTTAGGCAAGCCCTATAACATCTGACCATCTTTGAAATGGCAATAAATATGGTAGTGCATGGAAAATCGTAGTCAAGTAACTACAACACAGTGTGTTCTAAATATAAAGTATTAATATTAATGGTATTAATAAGTTAATACCATCTCTTGTCCTCATACCACACTTCATTAGAAAACATTTTCTCATATTTTTAATCTCCACTATGCTGATGACTTCTATAACTATAATCCAGTCCTTTCAATAAAGTCCCATATAGTGAAGGACAGTTGTTACTTCCTCCCAAAAACTTACACAAACTCATCACTGTCTCTCCAGAATGGTTCCTCCTTCCAACTTGGTTCTGTTTACTAGAAACCTCTAAGTTATGTGTATGGTTTTATTCTGCATCATATTTTTCCAAGTGTGCCACCAAATTCTATTTGATTTTACACAACAGTGGCTCTTGGAGTCATCTCTTCTACCCCTTATTATTGTAGCTCAGACTTCAACTGCTTCATGTCTGAATGCACCAGCTGCCTCCTAGTGGTCCACCTGCCTCCATCCTCTCCCCTTCCTAGGTCATCCTGCCCACTACCATGATATTACTCTCCCCAATGCACCCATGTTTGGTTAGGGCACTTGACTGGTCAAGGATCTACTCAGTTTCAATCTTTCCTATGAGAACAAGTTTAGACCCACATCCTGGGATTCTCAGGCCCCTCTCAGTCAGGCATCGCTGAGCCCAAGGAATCCTATTTCCCATTGCTTTCCAGCAAGGCCTCGGTGTTCGAATTCCCACTCTGCCCTTACTCCTGCCCCTATCAAAACTGCCATGTGCATCCCAACTCTGCACTTCTGCTCTTAGTCTTCACACCACCTGGCATGCCTTCTTTCTGCCTATCCATTCTCAAATGTCATTTGTTTCACCTTTTCTAAGAAGTCTCTTGCACACACGCCAGCTCATGTTTATCTCTCCCCACAGTTTTACTATGTGTGCCTCATCTTTTAGCCTGAGATTATTATGCTTTCATAATGACTTCATATGTGTGAGTCTTATTTCCCTCTCAATCACTAAAATATAATCTGCTTCAGAACAACTTACTCTAATAAATCTTTGCTGAACTAAACCAAAACCAAATAATAGCTTAGAGTGAATGTGAACTGAAATAGACACATTTATTATCTTCTAAAAATAGGTATGCAGGTACACCCGTTGTGGTAGAAATGAAACTATGTGTTCAACAAACCCTGTTGTCTTTTATCCTGGGCACAGAGGAAGACTACATTTCCCAGCCTTCGTTGTGGTTAGGTGGCAAAGTTCTGGCCGATAGCGCGTGGATAGAAGCAAGGTCCACCACTTACAGGCCTGGTGACTAAAACACCTCCCACATGACACTTTCTGCTCCTTTTCTTCCCCTGTTTGCTGCCTTCTGCTGAAGATCCAATGGAGGACTCTGAGTCTCTAGGGCAGTGCTATCCAACAGAACCTTCTGTGGTTTTCTATATCTGCATGTCCAATAGGGCAGCCACTAGCTGCATGGGGTTCTTGGGCAGTTGACATATAGGTAATGCAACTGTGAAATTGAAGTTTTAATGTTATTTAATTTAGTACATTTAAATTTAAATAGAGCCACAGGTACCTAGTGACTTCTGCATTCAACAGCGCAGTCTGAGGGGAGGAGGGGAAGCTGGAGGCCCTGCGTGATTTTGTGGGGCACATACTCTCCCCCCTCCACCGTCTGACCCCCAGTGATAACATTTAGCTGTTACTTGGGCAAAGATTAACATAATAATGGTTTAAATCCCTGAGAGTTTTTAGTTATTTGTTAGATCCATTAGCCCACTCTGATAATTTATAATTCTTATAAAGTCAATAATAATAATAATAATAATAATAATAATTTTCTGTTATGGAATATATTCTGGGACAGAGTTTTACAACATATTCTGATATAGTTAAAAATTAGGACCCTGTTGGCAAATAATTATAATTTTATATAGCACCATTTTTATAGGAATCACTCTATTTTTATGTCTTTTATAGCATGATTATCATATTTATTTTTATAGACCTATATATTCACATGTTTTCCAGTTAATCACTCTGTAGCAGCCAGTACCGGCTAGCTTTTCACAAATTGTCATCTTTGACAATTTGGAGCCAAGCAGGAAAGCTTCATTTTACCAGCCAGTAATTAAGCAATTAGCTCAAGAAATATAAAGTTAAACATGACCACAATTGGTTGATTTGCTCGTTGTTATTCCCCATTAGAGAATAGCTGAGTACCGCCCTCTGTATTTACAGAATGTTATATTTACAACAGGAATCCTCCCCTTCCCTTCTTCTGCTCACTTTGTATTTCCCAAGGTAAGGGTGGTGGCCCGCAGTTACTAAGTTGCCTTCTCCTCGTTCCAGGATGCAGCGGACTGGACGACCATGTCTAAAACAGAAAAAGGCAAGAACGTAAACTCTTCTACCACGTAGGTACTGTCTGGGATTTATGCAGCCCTGAATGGCAGCTTGAGTGGCATCCACTCACTTTATAGAACAACAGAACTGCTGCTCCCTGAACTCAGGCTGTGCTGATCTCAAGCACACACAGTGGCCTCCCCTCTCTTTCGGTCAGGGCACAATTGCCGGCATTCGCTACTTATGGGAGGGAGGCTCATGAGTGCCAGAGGCTCCACAGTATTGCTTTGGGGGATTTCCCACTGCGATAATAACCTCCACTGTAGGAAAACAGTCCAAATGCCACATTAGAGACTCTTTACAAATGGAGGAACTCAGGTGGTGTTCATTGCCAAGTGATCCCAGATAGGACAGGTGTGGAAAGAAGGTCTTTTCATATCATGGATAAAGGGACTGACCTATATTGCTCAGCAAAGTAATTAAGCCTTCTATGTGTACCTGCTCCAAAGATAATTTCCTATGGAAATATTTTGAGATTCTTGAAGAAAAATGGTAATACAAATAAAGGTAAGCGTAACAAAAGCAAAATCTCCATTTAATCAAGGGACCACAGGCACATACAGGTGCTAAGGATAAGTAACCTCCATCCTTCCAGTACCAGTTTCTGTCGACTCTCCAAGTGTTATAGTATTTTCACTGGGGTAATTATTCTTTTTGTAACTGATTCTTATTTTGTCTCTTATGGTATGTGGTTGGACAATATATGATAAAAAGTTGTAATAACTGGCAGCTTGTTTGTGTATGTGTACATTATATATGATTTTAAATAACCTTGACTGAAATTCTTCCTCCTTAATTCTGATATTGCTAATATTCAGCATGACTTCACTTTATGTTTAGTCTATTCAGCAGATTTTCTCCACTTGTTTGCTGCAAATGCGGTGATGGCTGCCATGATGTTAGTTTTAAACAACTTCCCCCTGAACGCCCCGCTAACACGCTTTACATGACACATGACCTTGTTAGCTGGGACCTTCAAGACCGAAGCAACTATGTCCTATGGATGACAACAGTTCTCATTAATCTGTCCCATCAGCAGCAAGGGAGTTGAGACAGCTCCTCCAGGTTTTAATTCTACAATGTTGTACATGATACACAAATTGTGTGGTTACATTAAATAACGGGACAATTTCCAATAACCATGGTGATCTCAGTGGTATTTGGCTACAATGACATCACCAAAACTATCATTAATATTGAGTAGTACTCTTGATAGCAATGAGATACTTCTGTGCTAAGTTTTCTTTGTTTTAATAAATTTCCCCCATGAACTATTCATATACCAAAGCATGTTTTTCACACGAATCCCTAGGAATATGTTTCCTGAAGCAATGAGGTTCTGTGGCCTTCCCAGCCTCTTTCAGATTGGGTCTTTTCCCTGAATTCCGCTGTTCTCCACTAGAAAATGCATTCTTTTCACCCCGCATTTGGATTACTGTACAGTTGGCCACTAGGTCTTTTCTGGATTCAGGTCTTGCTCTTTTTTTGCCATCCTAATGCTTTTAAAGATGGGGATGAAGTGATGGGCTCAACTTCATACAGGAAGTCAGGAGCAGAATAGGTCTAGAATGGAGTTCGCCTGACCCTTCTTAGTGTGTCACCTTCCAAAGGCCTCATTCTCTGCATTCCCACATTCGTACTTGCTCTGGTAATAACACTGCTCTTTATGACCTACTGAATCAAGACCTCTGCTTTCACCCCCATGCCTAAACTAGCCACCCCTAAAGTGCATCCTCCATTCCAGCCGGGCAGTTCTTGTACTATCCTTCCTTTCTTACATGCATGCTGCCTAATGTATAGGCAATAAATGTTTGCAGAAGGGACAGGTGAATGAATGAATGAATGAACGAACAAGTGGTATTTGATCTTGGTGCAGAATTGTCTGGAAATGGTATCTCTCCTCACAATCTAGACAAACCTCATTTTCAGTATAAATCCAAACTTAAGACCTGATCTCCATGGGACTTTCTGGAGGACTCTAGCTCTTAGCAGCCCTCTGTTCTCTTAATTCTTCCAGGTATGCAGACTCTGACTTAGCTGCTTTTACATTGGGTCACATTCTTGCTGGTGTGGTTTCCTAACTGCTTCATGTGAGTTGAGTATTATAAACTTTGGAGGACAGACCTTCTTCTCTTTTCTTTTTTATTCTTTTTCCAGTTTTATTGAGAAGCAATTAATATAACCACTGTATAAGTTTAAGGTGCACAGCATGATGGTTTGGTTTACATAGATTACAAAATGATTACTACAATAGGTTTAGTTAACATTCACCATTTCTTTTAGATATAATAGGAAAAAAGGAATAAATTCTTTTTGTGATGACAACTCTTAGGATTTACTCTTTTAACAACTTACCCATATTATCATTCAACAGTTTAAGGGGTAATTCACTGCTTCTTTTGTATTCTTAACAGTGTCAAAAATATAGCAAAAGAGACCTGCTGATTCCATAATTGTTTTAGTTACAGATCCACAAACAGAAGGCCTCTACTCCTATAATACTAGCTTAAAAGCTCAAAGTTATTAATTCTCAAATGCATGAGAATATGGCTATTAGCACTCCAAAGTCCTTCAGTTTCTGAAGTGACATTTTTGTCTCTAATTGCTCTTTGTGTATTTTGCAGGCAGAAACCATTTAGCTACATTCTTTCCATAAAGGTCCCATGTTACCTGCATGCCTCTGAGATACTGTGAGGATGCACAGATACCCATTTCTTGATCCTCTCCTTTGGGAACAGCAAGCATGCTCTGGGTTTCCATATAAAAATGCTCCTGACCTCCCATACGTATTTCACCTTTAGAGGAAAACACAGCAGAATCCAGAAGGCTGTCAGATAGGACAAGTAGCTTCCCCTAGCTGTTTTCTTATTATGGAGAAAGTCCACTGGCAGGACTTCTGCTGGGGCAGTAGGCCACAGGGCGAAGGGCCACAAACAATAACCTTTAGCTTTCATTATACCTGAAACTTTATTTGAAGTAAAGTTCTGTAAAGGGACCTGTCATATCTGCCAATACAGTGGGTCACAGAATCCTAGGGAAAGGTGTCTAGAGTCAAAATAGTATGACAACGAGACTTCTAGTTCTGAGACAAGATGGTGCAGATGCATATCTCCCTGTTCCTTCTGCTAACAGCCATAAACGTTATATATAAAAGAAACATATGAAGACTGTCAAAGATAGAAAGGAGAAGGCAGACAACTGGGGACTTTGGGGACTTTAGGACCCAAGGAAAGATATAATGGTAAATTCAATGGGTTACATTGTTGTTGTTTGCTTCATATAGCCTGTATTTCGTACCAGAGGAGCCAGAAATCCATAAATACTAGCTGGCAAAAACAGAAAAAAAGTCCCGAGCCCTGACTGGTGTAGCTCAGTTGGCTGGGCATTGGCCCACAAAGCAAAAAGTCATGGGTTTGATTTCCAGCTGGGGCACGTGCGGGTTGTGGGGCCAGTCCCCGGTCACAGCATATGCGAGAGGCAACCCGTCAATGTTTCTCTCCTCTTTCTCCTTCCCTTCTCCTTTCTCTAAGAATAAATTTTAAAAATCTTTGTAAAAATTCTCAAGAAAAGCTTACTTTCTCTAAACTAAGGACCAGGAAAGAAGACACCTAGCAAGGCAGAAAGATTTTATATAAAAAAACTACTCTACTCCAGTGAAACATTACAGAAAAAACTGTGGACCTGTCTTTACCTGCAAAAGTTGAGGGAAGAGCCTAGACTCCCTCCCTTATTAGGTTTCAATGAGGTACCCAAAACCCTCTTCTGGGGTGGTAGTCGGTGGAGACCATACGGGAAAACTAGACTTCCACATTGGCAATAACAAGGCATTGCTGCCCGCTGCCCCTCCCCCCAATACTTTCCCCCACCAACACAAGGTCAGAGGAGTTCTGGTAAACTAGGAGACTTAAATAAGATCCAGAGTGTTATAACATAATACACTAAGTGACCAGGATACAATAAAAAAAATCACTCTTCATACCAAGAACCCAACTTGGATGAGAAAGGACAATCAACAGTTTCTAACACTGAGATGACAGAGACCATGAAATTATCTGACAAGGATTTTAAAGCAGCCATTGTAAAAAATGGTTCAGTGAACACTGGCATGAACACTTAAAATAAATGAAAAAATATAAAATCTCTACAAAGAAACAGAAGATATAAAAAGATCCAAATGAAAATTTTAGAACTACAACAACCAAAATGTAAGAAGCTCAACTGGTGAGCTCAACCACAGACTAGAGAGAACAGAGGAAATTAACAATGAAGAAGAATATAGAACAACAGCCATTTCCCAGCTTGAACACTAGAGATAAATAGATTGAGAAGAAAATGAACAGAGCCCAAGGAACCTGTGTGACTAAAATAAAAGATCAAAAACTTGTGTTGCTGAAGTCAAGCATTTGAAGAAATAATAGCTGAAAATTTTCCAAACTTGGTAAGACACAAACCTACAGATTCAAGGAGCAGATTAAGTCCCAAAGGGATGAGCCAAAGAAATTCATGCTAAGACATCACAGTTAAACTTCTGAAAACTAAACACAAAGTGGTATCTTGAAAACAATGATAGAAAAACATGACTTCATCTATAAGAGAAAAATACTTCAAAAGACAGCAGATTTCTTGTCAGAAACCATGAAGGCCAGAAGAACTGGCACAACATCTTTCTTCAAGTGCTAAAGGACCTGTCAACTTGGAATTCTATATCCAGTGAAAATGTTCTTCAGGAATGAAAAAGAAATCAAGACATCCTCAGATGAAGGAAATCTAAGGGAGTTTGTCTTCAAAAAACCTGTCCTAAAATAACAAGTGGCTCAGGGAAGTTCTTGAAACAGACAGGAAATGATTAAAAAAAAAAAGATCTTGGAACATCGGAAAGGCAAGAGAGCAATGGAAAGAATAAAAGTAGAGGTAAACACAATAGACTTCCCTTTCCTCTTAAATTGTGTTTGAAACAAAATTATAACATTGTTTCATGTGGTTCTCAATGTATGTAGAGAACATTTTTAAAGCAATTATATTATCAATGAGGGAAAGTATGTCTGGGCCAAAGGAATCAGGAATGTCCCATACTGTATTCAGGTGGTGACTGTCCAGAAAATGTAATGAAGACTCTATATGTCATGAAAGTTCTATATATTAGTTACCTATGTACTTGTCACCATTTTCAAAAATCTACAGTCAATGTGGATGAGAGCTAATCACCGATTGTAAAATAAAGTTATAAAACCAAAAACAAATCCCCCCATTACTGACAAATCAAAATGGAATTCTAAAACATGTTCAAGAAACACACTGGAAGGGTGGGAAAAAATAAAAAAACAGAGGTTAAGAAAAAACCCAGAACACAACTATGACAGTCATCATGCTAGATGGGAGGCAGAACTTTTAAAAATTAAAAATGTACCAAATAATAGTGACTTGTAAATTGTTTGAGAAAGATACTCAAGGAAATCTCTTGTACTGGAGTCTGGACTTCCTGTCTTATCCAAAACCTGAGTAAAGAAAGAGTACAGAAGAATGAACAGATTCTGCCTCATTTACAAAATACAAAAATTAAAATGTCGAGCTCTAAGATCTCAATTTCAACTTAAGCTTTTATCAAAGACTCTACACTTATCAGCAGGCTCAAATTCATGGTTTGCAATGTTAATAATTACACCTATCCACTTGATTTATTTTGTTAAATATTTTCTTCATTTAAAAAAAAAATACAGACCTAAAAAAATACCAGACAGAGCTGTTTCTGCTCCAACCTCGAAGGTAGGCAAGCTCTAGAGCCCTGTGACAGCGTGCTGTCCAGCCCGCGCCCCTACACCGCGGTGCCCTCGCTTTACTCTGGGGTGTTGCTCTCAACTCTCTAGGTTGGAAACCAATTTGTTCAGCTAATCCCTGAGATAAAATTTTATCCCAGTATGGATTTAGGAATGATTCCTCCAGGCATATTTACATTTTAATAAGGGGCCCTTCAAGAAGGAAAAGCCGTTAAGATATGAAGGCGTTTATCTGCACGATGCCCAACAGGACAGGCTGTGGGGAAGATAATCTCCGTTCCAGGGCTCCCAGGTCCCTCGCAAATCCTGCTACACAGATTGCCATCTACCTCTCCAGCGGAAAGCCCATCCCAGCTAATGAAATTTTAAAGAGATAAATGAGAAGCAGCTTAATGTAGAGGAGAGAATGTGTTAACTCCAGAGTTGGAAAACTTAGATATATTTGATTCCTGGTCAATCGCATGCCTCTCTGGCCTCAGCTGGCTCATTTGTAAACAGTGTTCCCTAACGCTTATGACACCAGGGTTAGAGAGGGCTGGCTTCTGTCTTCACAAACAATAACACCGCTTCCTTCAAGAACAAAGTCGAAGACTTGGTATAATGCTCTACATATTTTATCTTTTAAGTATTTTTTTTCTTGGAGCACCTATTTTCCTAAGGGGCAGATAAAGTGCTGTTATGATAATTACCTCCAATTATCTCATACTGAAAGAAGTAGTCAAAGATTCTTAATCCAAATGACAATCACAGAGTAAGAAAAACCAACCTCAAGGCAGTGAGCTAAGAGAATGTAAACTTAAAAGTCCCTTCCAACATTTCTGTGCCATTTTTATACTTATTAACAGGGTATGATGCGAGTAGCAAGTTAAATTCAAGTAAAAGACAGCTTGAATAAATTACCTAACTGAATTAAATAATTAAATAAGATGGCAGGAAAAAATACAATAATTACATCCTTACATAAAATCATATTGTGGCACAAGTGGAGGAGCGCCCCGAAATATTGATACTTCCAGATGGTCACACCATGAACCCTCTCTGCTAAATATGCTCCCTCCTCTTCTGCTCCAAACAAACTCATCCTTCGAGTGTTTGCCACATTTTATTAACCTTAAGAATCGCCCGGAGCACTGTTAAAACTGGTCAAAAAAACAGATTCCTGGGGTACCCTGGATCCTCCAACTCCAGGATCCCAAGGAAGGCGCACAGGAATCGCCAGGCAGGTTTCATACGCATGTTAACAGTGAGGGAAACTGGGAAACACGGACGTTGATAAATGCACGCCTGCCATTGTGTTAGCTCAAATAAAAGGTAACCTTTTCTAGAGGAGAACAACAAAAACACCTTAACCTAGTAATAATTATTGCTCACAGTTCTGGATCTCTTCCTATGTGCCAAGCACACATTATTACCTCTTACAATCTTCATAATGGATCTTTGAGATCAGTATTATTTTATCCATACACAGGCATATTTCATTTTGTTGTGTTTTGCTTTCTTGTGCTTCACGGATGTTGCTTTTTTTAAAAAAACAAATTGAAGGCGAAACCCTCCACCAGCAAAAAATGACAGCCCGCTTTATCGCAGTGGTCTGGGACTGAACCCACAATACCTCAGAGGTGCGCCTGTATATGTATTGGAAGGAGGTCTGGAGAGAAGGGAGGGAGGGAGAAAGGGAGGGAAAGAGTAAAGTAAAGGTAGGGGAACGGAAGGAGGGAGAAATCAGAGAAAGGATGACAGAGAAAGAAGCATGGAAGTGGGAAGTCATTTAGAAAGAAAAGCGCTATCAATTTCACAACCAGCTTTGTCACTTAGTGGCTATTGTATGACTGTGGTCATTCATGTTCCTTAATCAGTCTGAGCCTCAAATCCCAACCTGCTACGTAGATGTGAACAGAAAAAGAGAAAACATTTCTATAACAACTATCACCACAACTGTTTCCATCATTTTTTTTCCCAGGTAGTTTTACCTTCAAGAATTTGATCAACCATTTTAAATGCTTCAGCAGCATTTCCACATTGCAATTTTCTTTCAGGGCAAGTGGCCACTGCGTGGTGGCTGCCATGGCCAGGGCCTCCCTGCTGTGTACCCTCCCCGCACACAACCCCGCCCCCCTCCCTCGCATTTATGCCTGAAGTGCTTGTTCCTGGGGAGCAACATTAAAGGAGGCGTGCTTTAGAAGGCTTTCAGGGTGGGTTCCTCTCTCTTCGTTTTTTTTCAGGTAGTTTTACCTTCAACAATTTGATCAACCGCTTTAAACGCTTCACCAACATTTCCATATACCAGTTTCCTTTCTGGCTCAAAGAAGGAATTGTGCTGGATGGCTTCCTAGAAAGAGAACAGAAAAGTGAGGCCACCTGGGCAACAGCCACAAGCAGTGGCATCATCTCCATCTGGGCAGCACTTGTCCTCTTGCTCTGGAACCCAGGCGCTCTTAGCGTGGCTGCAGAGCTGAGCGGAGGACCAGGCTTCCACGGAGCAAACGCAAATGTCCTCGTTTAGTCAAGAGAAAGGGAGTACGCTCAGAAAAACCTGGCACCTACTTGGTCCCAGAATGGAACTAATAGTTTCCAGGTGGGTTATTCTTTTCATTGCACAACTCGTTTTATACAGCCAAGGCCACACGGGGCATGGGCTCTGGACCCAGTTGGAGTTGTGGCCATTTTTTCCATTTACTAGCTGTTCGACTGTGGGTCTACTACTTCACCTTTCTCAGCTTCATCTGTCAAAATGGAGGTGTCGTTGTGCACATAGCTCCAATAGGGGTGGAGAGGATAAAATGAAGTGAGGCACATGAAGAGCTTCCATGGCATATAATAGGTGCTCAGTCAGTGCGAGCAGTAGACACGGCAGCCCTGCCTGCCAGCCCCATGCTCCTCCTTCAGGGAGGTGAGCACAGCATTTGCACAGCGCAGTAGAGCACCTGGGACCTCCGGCTCTGAAAAAGCGTCCACTATAATCACAGCATGGGCACCACAAATCCACCTATATACCGGTCCTTCCTGGCTTCCTCTGGGTGCCTAGTGAAGGGGCACAGTAGTGGGGCCACATAGCCTGGGACGTAGCTATAATAATCTAGGTTGTTTTTCTCACCTATCCTTAGCAATTTATCTTGCTGTAACCATTGCATCAGCTGGACAATGTGACTTGCCAGCTCCTGCAGCATTATCTACCATGGGTTATTGCCCACCTGTGGAATTCTAACCTGCTGGAAGCTGGGGAGTTTCCTAACTCTGGTTCCCTTTAGCCACACCAGTAGGTTTCTATCAACATACCTTACAGGGATGGTCTACTGTGATCCTGCCATTTTCTCCACTGAAAGGGGGTTGATTTGTTTTTACCACTCTGGGGTGCAGGTTCTTTGATATAGTGTTTGTTGACTGCTTCTTTGTCACTGTCCAGCTGTGTGGGTCAACTTGTGTTTTAGTTTCCTCATCAGAATGAGGATAACAATAGGTTTTAATCTCAGAGGATCTGAGCATTTAGTGAATTAATATAGGAAACCAGCTTAAATCTATGTAACTATGTAGTGAGCTCTGTGTGGGAATCAGCTATTTTTGTTGATCATGATGACTGATGAGAGATCCTGGTCAAGAGCATATTTTTTTCTTACCACGATCATTAGCATGACCCTTCAAGCCAAGAGTTTTTCCATTCAAACTATTAAAAACTCTAAAAAGCATAACCTGGGTTAAACCTTAGAGATTAGAGACAGAGATACATGTGTTTTTATCCTATTTTGATTGATAACACACTTTTCTACTGGAATCAATTCATATGATTTTCTTATTAATCTAAGGCTCAGATATTCCAGGTTGGGAACAGAAGTTTTATAAATCCTATTTTTAAAAGTTTAATCTTTCTTTCTTTCTTTTTTTTTTTTTAAAGTCACTGCTGCTTGCTCTTTGAGTAACTTTGAGCCAATTTTTTGGCCAGGAAAGTGATAAAAGAACTTTAATGTGTAGGGACCTGGGCATATTTCCCTACTGTAAATTGACTTAGATTAAACCCACTCTAATCTAGTAAATTGACCCTGGAGAGCTCAACCTCTGATGAAAACATGAGGTAGCCCTACTCCACCATGTCAAAGTTTAGTATTTGATTCTGGTATTCCCTGGCAGACAATTATAAGTCTGCTGATTGCAGTTGGGGAGGACAGAAAGAGAGTAGTATCTATTTGTCAGTTTGGAATTTTATTTGTCTGGAAGGTTGGGGGAAGAAAGGCAAGACAGTAAGCCACTGGTATTGGGCTAAGGATTACAAGCAAAATTTTGGACAAAGCATTATGTGAATAATATCTTATGAAGATGTAATTCTAACTCTAAAACAAAATGCTGGGGAAGGAATATATTAAAGTAAGGAAGCAGAACAGGCAACATACGAGTGAAACGGTCTGAGAAGGAACAATCGGTTTGAATTTGAAAGTGTCCAGGGAAATTTAGTAGGTCTAATCACTCTTTGACTTCAGTTACACTTTTGTATTTTTGTTTTCTTGACATGATTTTATTTTAATTTTAAAACACAGAGGATGCTGTCTGGAAACACACTCAGAGGTCGTTGGCATAAAGCAGCACGATAGGAAACATACCCAAGGCCAAATTTTGCTGGAGACACTAATCTTGGCCAAGTCATTTCTTCATTTTCTGCCTCAGGGTATGTTATTGCCTAGAGAACAGCTTATGCGTTATGCTGTGAAGATAATATTGTATTCCCAGAGTACACGGAGTCTATATGTGCTGAATCTAATCTATTCATGCTGCTTTCCCAACTTTCATGCTTTTATTGCTTAGTAAATTACAAGAACCAACGAGTTTATGCAGAACACTGTATCATTACATGGAGATGAATCTTAAAACCTTTTTAAATTTCAAGCTCCTTTCTAAAAAACAGGTTAGAAAATGCAATTCTCCAATTTGTTTAAGTTGCCAAAATATCTTTAAGCATCATAGGATTTATTTCTCATACTAATTTAAGATGTACATGAAAGGATCTAAAAGCAGTGCCTCCCACGTCTGCTTCCTGGAGCACCTTGTTGGTTCTCGCTGTGTGAGAACCTAGGTGAAGGTGAACAGAGTAAGCCCTCATTGACAAGGGCTTAGAGCTGTGACAAAATGATATATGACAAAACCAATTTGACCAAAGGCTAATTGACGATGGAAACAAGAGTTAAACTCCTAAGACATGTCATCAACATTATCACAAAACAATGTTGAATGAAACAATGATTTCCAAGGACCTGCCGCACAGAGTTGCAGGGTGTGTCTCCTCTCCTGGATGTTGTGGTTGTCCATCCAGCATTCCACCCACCTGTCCTCTTCTGGACAGCGCTCAGATTTCCGGCCGGGTCTCCCCCACCTCCCTGCACAGCCCCTGCACCTCAAAGGCTCTGGCTTCCCAGTAGCGACAGCAGCTCCCTCCCCCCTTCCTCTGGACAGTCATTAACTCAGAGTTGGATATGGGACCGAGTGGCCCAACGAGGCTGGGTTTGGGGACTCCTGGACTGTTGGGACAATGGTGCTCGCTTTTGCTTCTGGGGCATGAGCTGGAAGCTCCTGGCTGTCATCCTGTGAGCGCAGCACACACAGCCTATACTGTGGGCAGCAGGAGACGAAGCAGAAGATCAGCTTTCTTGCTGACACTGATAGTGTCTGTGTTTTGGAAGCCATTCTGAGTCATATTTTCTTTCCTGCTACTAAAGCCAAAAGCATTTTTACTGACATTCCACTGAAATCTGCTCTTCCGGCCCTACGCTTGAACGCATTACCTCAATGTTTAGGATCACGGGCTCCAAATCTTGGTAGACAATCCTCACCAGCTTCGCAGTTCTCCTCGCCTGAACCTCAGACTCTGCAATCACGGCACAGACAAGCCGACCCACGAAAAACATCTACAACACAGAAAAGATCTTGTTTTTGAGAAGGGCAGACAACTGGTCCTCTCCTCCTGTTTACTTTTCTCCTTCCTCCTAGCACAGAGCTAGACACACAGTAAGTGACCCCTTCACACGTGTCTTAACCACAGTGCCATGGTTAGCAGAGGGTCTGGTAGGGCAGTGCCTTTGTCAGAGCTGGCCTGCTGCCCCAAGGCACTGGGGAAGTTTTCTTTTGCTATGTCATCGGCAGTGGTGGCTGAAGAGGTCGGGAGTGGTGCTGCCTCCTGGGCAGCAGACTCAGGCTCCATCCAGGCCCCGCCTGCAGAGCTGCTCAAAGGCCAGCTGGCCCAGGAGAGCCAGCCCTATGGCTTGGCCTGCGCCTGCCATACCACAAGCGGGGCCGTTCTGAGAGGGAGCTTTTGCCTTCACAGATGGGGAGGACCCGAAGGTTACAGCCTATCTCATCCAGAGAGGAAGAGGAGAGAGAGGGATAGTGCAGCACTGCTAGTGAGCAAGGCTCTGCCCCAGACCGCGGTGGAACACAGGCATTTTAGGGAGAGGCTGGAGGCTGGACGAGCCAAGGCACAACCAAGCGCACAACATTCATTTCTCCTGCAGGCGGCAGAGGCAGCCTAAGGAGTTGACACAGGGACCAGGGCACAAAGTTGGTAGAAAACAGAACAAAATCAAAGCTCCAGGAAGGTAAAATACTCAGGCCTGGAAGAAGTCACCGTGACTGTTTTATTCTCTCTCCTACCTTAAACCATGATCACAATTAAGAAAGTTAAATCCAGAACACGTACACGCACACAGTGTGTTTCTTGAGTATGGGTGGGTGGGGGCCGTGAGGAGATAAATGAAACAAGAATAGCAAAATGTTGATAATTGTTGAATCTCTATTCTTGTGCATGTTTAGAATTTCTACAATGAAAAAAATTTAAAAAGGCATAACATGCTATAGACAAATGTAGAAAAAGGAACGAAACTAACAAAAGCAGCCATTTACGGTGGCTCTGTTCTCGGCTCTGCATGGATGCCTGGCTTTGCCTCTGTGACCTGGCACACAGACGTGCCCCCTCCTCCCCCCAGAGGCTTATAATCAACATACCCACACCTCAAAGAGCAGACACTATCATGCAGACTGGAATGGTTTTCCTTGTTTAGTTAACACTTATGTAAAAGGCCACTATTCTCATTGTCTTCTGCCAGTGCCGCATTACGATGTCTTAGAGGAGTTTCAACTTGACTTGAGACTGTCAGTCGTCAAATTTCCATATTTATCAACTAAGTCTGCCAGCAAGAGCCAGAGGTAGGGGCTGTTTCAAAGGATGAAGCTCTTCTGGGCGAACACTAAACTGAGCAGCCTGAGTTCTGCATAAAACCTGCTGAAACTCCTTTGTTGTATTTTCTGATAACTAACGATACGGTAGCCAAAATTTTAATCATTTGAAACTTTCAAATAGCAACAATGCTAGCATTGTTCATCTACTCATTTACTTGCTACCTGGGAAGCAGCGTGTGGAATATATAGGTCAGTCGGACGTGGGGCCTCATTCAAGGACTTTTACCAGGCAGGGGAAATACATAAGGCATTGATATCAATAAATAAGCTTACTACAAGGTAGAAAGTTCATCAGAGGTCCGCTCTGCCTTGTCTTCTAGACTTTAAGCCCTGTGAGGACAAGGACTACAAGGCATTGCCAACCGTTCTGGGGTCTCCCAGGAACCCCTTGTCTCTTTCTTTTAAAAATCTAACTAACATAGTTATAACTATGCACACACATACTTATATCAGTCTTTTCTCAAGAGATTTCATGTATGATCAATCTATTTTTATTTTTGATTGTTGTGCATTTACAGTTGTCCCCATTCCCCCGCCATTACTCTCCGCTGCCCTACCTACACCCACCTCCCACGTTCTCTTCAAGTGACCAAAACATTTGCTTATAGAGGTTAATGATTATTGTGGATATATGAGTCCTAACATAAAAATCATTAACTGTAATGCTTATGTGTCTTGTAAATATTTGATCAATGTGTTCCTGGCTTGTGCTTTTGCCAAAGTGTGGATTCTGGGAAAATATCTATATCCCTGTTTCTTTTCATATTTGTGTGTTTCTGAGGGCAGGAGTCATATTGGTTTAACTGATTTTACACAGTGTTATTTCCGTGCACAATGATATACATAAACAATCCAATATATATATAAAAAATGCCTGTTAAATACATGGTGGTATGAATGGATGAGTAAAGGTGAGTTCAGAAAGGGAGAAAGAACACCTGGATTAAAGGGCAAGGAAAGGCTGCCTGGGGGAGATACTGCTTGAACTTGGACTTTGACTTTGGACACATTGGCTGGGGCAATGGCAAGAGATTCTCAGAAGAGAGATTAGCAAATAAAAATTACTATTATTCTCTCCCCATTTGTTCTTTCATACTTGTTAGCAGCACATTATCTTACTACTAGAAAATATAAAATAATCAAGTACCTTTTACCTAACCGGTCAACTTTTTTGGCTTACGTGGAAAATGAATGTATTTGAATTCATTCACCATTAGAATAAACTGTTTTAGAGTAAGCATTCAAAAGATATTGGAATCCTTAATGATTTGCCAAATGCGATGCTTTCTTTAAGACAATCTGCAAGTGCCATAATGGGGGAAGTTACTGTTAAAACAGAAATAAAAATGCAGTACCTCCTCTGACCCCCCAAATTTCTCAGGTTCGGTCAAAGGGCAGAAGGAGTTCACGCCTTCAAGAGGTTCCTCCATCAAGACGTCCACGACGCCTGGCGGGCTGAGCGCTTCCAACAGATCAATGGACCCGGGCGAGAGCACACAGAACGGGGCCCTCCGAGCAGCCCCGCAGCCCCCGCGCGAGGGGACCGGGCTTAATCGGAGAATGAGATAGCAGAGCGGTAAGGTAAGTTCTCTACCAGACAACTGGGAAACCAGACCGGAGATGAGGAAGTTATCAGAGGGAGAAACGAACTGTAGTCAACCCTACATTTAGATCCCGTTTCACCTCCAATCTGCAGTGAATGTCTCCAAAAAAAAGCTTACCCTGCTCATACCATTACTTTTCACGAATGTGACTTAGATGGAAAGGCAATCGTTAATGTCTATCAGGTAAGAACTCAGTCACTTACACAATCTTAGCATGAGCTCTTGAACTTGTTACAAAAGCCAAGAAAAGTTCTTTATCCACAGCAGGGATGTGGTCACAGTAGATGGCTTCACCTGTGGTGTACTTAATACCAGACGGGTGCATGACCTTGAGGAAGCTGCTTTGGGTCTACATTCTGTTCAATAAATAACCAACGTATCATTTTAATAATCATATTATAAACATCTCTCATAAGGTGGTAGCCATGTAACTTACATCTAAACCAGAATACTTTTGAAAATGAAAAGTATCACTATTAATAGGACAATAAGCTAATTTCAATAATTCAATAGGGAAACTGGGATGGATGTATAGCCACAACGTTTTTCTCTTCCCACCCTGCCCCCCTTTTTCTGAATATAGACCACACACATTTCTAGTACAAATTCCATTTGTATAAGTAAATGAATATAAACCTTCCTGGTAATATAAAATTATGTCATTTTGCTAATGCTCATGTATTTCCTTATTTGTTGCTATCAAAGTTATTTTACTGCTTGTATCTAAGTATGGTGCATATATTTTGCAGAAAAGCACAGTGACATCATGACCATGTTTATAGAAAATGTTGAAGGCATGTCTTCAACCAGAAGAGCCCTCTTTTTTCTATTTTGAGTGGAACAGCCTAAGAAATACTTGGTAAAATTCATGACTCAGACATTTCTGATGAAAGAATGAAGCCAAAGGAAGATACACTTTGGGTGATTATTGACTAATATTCCTCTTTCTTAGAGACCTGTGGTGTAAAATGTCTTGCTACTGGTTCTGTACATACCTTAAATATGCTTCATTAACCAAAGAAGAAATTAAGGAACACAATGTCTCCTCCTGCATTTCAGGTTTCCTGGTTGGTTGGTTATTGGAAGAAAATTGGCGGTATAAACAAAAAAGGAGTTAAGAGACATGATATAGGCCAAGCTCAGCGCCTGGGGTGAAGGCCTTACCTGCCAGGGAGGCTGGTGAGGGGAGCGTAGCAGGTGGAAATTCCAGGGAAATTGCCAACAAAGTGACCACTGTTTAAAGGGAAAGGGCAGCTCTGGGTCTAGAGCTCCGCTTGGGGAGCAGCCTGCTCAGCTGGGCCGTGCAGCCCCCCCCACAGCTCCCTGCGTCCGCGCTGTGCTCGGCACTAGGGCTGACGCCACACTCCCAGAGGCTTTCTCTGGCAGACGCGGGGGTAAAGGGAATACAGTAGGTGGGTCAAGGTGAGGCCTGGGAAGAGCTCTGGAAGGGCTCCCCGTCCCACCCCATCTGTTGTCCACACTGCAGTTCACGGGCCCCTCGAGCCCTGGATGAGGCAGGGACTCTTTGAGATGAGTCTCACGGCATCAGCCACATCGCGGGGTAGGAGGGGAGAAAGAACAACACATCACCGACAGAACGTACGCTGCCTAAACCTTTACGGAGGGAAAAAGAAGCCATGGAAGTGGACCTATTTCCAATGCAATATCGTGTAGGGTGTCTAGGGGAAAACGTTAACTACTTTTGTATTTGATTACTAGAATGTGCAGTTTGAAAAACATATGCAGTATGTATTGATGATAAATAAAGCATTTGAGTCCACCTAAAGTGGCATCTCATTTCAATCATAGCCAATTTTCCAGAGTCAAAGCCATCCATGGTCCCGCAAAAGCTCTCTGAGGCTTCTGCTCGGTGGAATTGACAAGAAAGACCCTAGCTGTCCAGGATACCACTGGTGTTTTGTTTTCTTTTCCTTTCTAAACATTTGGATTTAATGTAACAAATACCACGAGTGGAGGAGTGCCATTATGCCTAGGATGGGAACTTTACGTAAAGATAACTGCGAAAAACACACTTCTCCACTGCCCTCTTGCCACTCGCGGGACTCCAGAAGAGCGGTCTTGGCTTGCTGCCCACCTGCTTGAGCGACGCAAAAACTAAACCTTCGGCTTGAGGTGGATCAGAGGTTCACCAAGTGCGGGCAGGCCTGGCACTTCAGGAGGCACGAGGAGAGAGTGGCATGTGTAATCTGAATAGGTGTTCAGCATTTTTATTGGTTACTTGGAAAATGAAAAAAAAACCCAAAACCCTATTGCTTTCATAATGTAAGTGATAAGCAATAAAACATCAGCCAAGTTTCAGCTGACAATTATATGTGGAAAGTAAAGTCATTTTAAAAATTTAATTGGCATAAGATGTGTAGGATGCTCGGAATTTATTCCTACTTCATATAAAATTTACTGTTTTATAGTAAAATACATACTCACTAATAAGCATTCATTGTTTTAATGTCCATGTTTGTTTCATTGAAATATAAACTTTAATTTTGTAGTGACTATAATACAATGCACAAAAAAAGAGTATTGGCTTTTTTTTTTTTTTTTTTTTTTTTGGTGGTTGTTGCGGTCCTCCTGGCTTGATAAGATAGAAAGAAGATTATCAAGAAAAATAATTTAGGGTTTGGCCCAAGCACCATTAAATAAAGGTAGACATTAGGCCACGTAGGGGGAGAAAAAGAGATAAAGAGATAAAATTTTACATATTGGGATTGAGACATGAAGAGGGCTTTGAAGCAGCCCGACACACAACAGTACCGCTGACACAGTACTGCTTTTCCTCACCACCAAAAGCTCTCAGCAGGTCCCTTTTCCCTCTCCTTTGAGGAGCCGATGGTAGTCAAAAGATACAAAATGTATGAGGGCTCTATTAGTTACGGTTTTTCATGTTCCGGATAGTAGGGGTCCACCCCCTCTGTAAAGTGGTCTCTGAGTGCTACACCAGGGTGCTGGGCTGGGCTTTCAACCTGAACAACATTTGAGTGAAAACTCCCCCAAATTCAATTCTAGATTTTTCCTTCCCAAAGAGCAAAATTTCAGGTAATTCCTAAGCTCAGACACTAATGAAACACATTTGTAGGTATCTATAAAGACTCTGAGACTTTTCTGTGACATAACACATTTTACCGTAAATAATAAAACACAGCATTGAAAAAAAGGCGTTTGAAAACTCGCTGTGTGAGGCCTGCCAAAAAATTGAAGAAGTATCCCAAAGTATATCTTTGTCCTATTCCATAATCAAATACAAACTTGATTATCTCAACTGAAGACATCACGCTGTGTTTTTGGTAGTCAGCTATGGGGAATCTCCTGGGGAAGGAGGCTATACTTGATACTTGCTGCTGCTTGTCCTGTGGCTAAAGAAGTGCTGGAAGAAAGAATGCTGTCCCCTCAAACTGCTGATCTTTTGAAGCTGATCAAAATGCTTTCAAAGCAAAGGAACTGACTTGGGGAGAAAATGCTCACCATGAGCACTGAAGTTGCTATAGCAATGTGGATATTCGTGTCTATGAACAACCACAGGGAAAACAGAAACAGAACTCGACTGTGTGGGAGATACACTGCTTTCAAACCTTGTCTTGCAATCTAGAATAGCAAAGTCCCTTTTAAGGTTATTAAGTACATGAAGATTATCACTTTTCTTTCAGTGATTTGAATGCCCACTCATTTGTTGTGGTTCCTTTCTACCGCTTACTCCATTGCCAAGGTTAGGTATTTATAAGCCAAAGGTTGCAGCTGCCATATTTTGCAGAACACCAAGGAAGATGGCAGCTGTTTTTAACAATCAAAATAATCACTTTCAATGGTGTTTGGTGTGTTTGAATTTTTTAACATATCAAACTTGAAACCTGAAGGGTATATACCGATTTCAGTGTTCATTACAACATACCATAAGCTTTTATAACCAAGTCCAACAACATATTCAATGTTCTTGACTTAATAAAACCCTCAAGGTAAAGTTTCTTAAGAATAATTTCAAGGGAAACCACATTGAATCATATCCAGTTTACCAATAGGATGACTTCAGGTGATATTTTTATGATGTTGTGGCAGAAAATTCCATTTGAAAGTTATGAGGAATTCTGTTCTCTCTGATAGTCAGCTTTCATTAGGGGAGCTTGAAATAGCTCTTAGAACATATGTTTGATCCAGCTCTAAAAGGCAACTCACAGAAAACCCACTTGGTGAATAGGGATAGGGGAACAAAGTATATTCATATTCAAACAAAATAAATTAGCAGCTCTTTTTAAAAAAGCATTACTTCATTTCATCAACTTCCAGGGCTTGTTTTTACTACTCCTCTGAAAATAAAATCAAAGCAGCCCTATGGCCCTGACACAGAATGTGAAGTTGGTTGTTCTCCGGCTTCCCTGCCGCCAAGGGCAGAAGCCTGTGACAGGCCAGCCAGCTCACTCGTACCTGTGGTTCAAGGCCACAGACCCAAACTCACAGACTTCAAGATCAAAACAGACATTTAAAAACAATGACCATTGGTAGCTAGGCTTTCAGTCACAATTATTCTTGGATTTAGAAATTTTAATTTCCATGAAAGAGGGCTGTGAGTTCAGAAGGGGAGCTCAGGCTTACAAAGCTTGAGAATCACTGAGAGGTCGGTGGGGACGGCTGAGTGAAGAAGTTACAGCCCAGGCCTTTGAATTACCAAAAAAAAAAAAAAAAAAAAAAAAAAAAAAAAGAAAAGAAAAAAGAAGCCACTAACCTGGTAGTTAATTGCACTTCAGTGATACCTAGAATGAAGGTCTTCTAAAGCACTCTCATACTTGTCTTCCAGGGTAGGATAGTGAACACGGTCCTAAAAAATAGAACCATTGTAGAAATTTAAAATGAGCCTAAGTGGTCTCGTAAGGAAAGATAGCGTGGTTCTTAACAAGCAGCTCTAATATGAAACTAACATTTATTAAGGACTCGCCCTGTCCAGAACCCTGGAGGTACAGCAGCCTCCCAGGCCTCCGGGACACACGCTCTGGAAGGTCTACACGCTATGAAGATGAAATGTGTAGAGTAGATCACTGACTTCCAGCACCTCAGTGTTTCATATGAATCTCTGACATGTAAGCCCTAAATGATTTGAGGACCCAGAAGTCAATAAAACAGGAAGATAGAAGCTAAATAAATAAAATGAAAGGGATAGAATGCTTAAACCAGGAAAAAGAGCCAAAGCACACCACAGCACAAGTGCATAAAACTTGGTACAGCACCACTTGCCACCTCGAGAGAAAGGAAAACACAGAGACTGCCTCCCAGCCACTGCGTCTGGCGTCCCAGGAGGAACACTGCTTAGAACTAAAAGAACTGGGTCATCTAGGTCTTTATCCAAGGGTTTAAACAATATATCTAATGGTTACTTTTTACATTAAAAATTTTAAATAAAAAATTAAAGCCAGCAAAGGCTTTACTGAAGAAATTGAATTGAAAGTATGAGACTATAAGGCAAGATCACTTGCATTATATCACTTGATTTACCCAGGAAATTATATTGGTTTGCTATTAATTGGAGTAATTGACAACTGGCTTATTTTTTCTCTTGTGATTACCTGGTGATAATATGCCACTTAATACGTGATTTCAAGCTTTTAGTCTCAGAAATTTGATAGATCTGTTTTGGTTCATAGTTGTTCCCATGTATAGGGAGAAGATACCCTCAGAAGCAATGATAAGAGAGTCCTTTTGTTCCTCTTATTTAGAGTGATCATATTAATTTCTATACTACACAAAGAAATGTTCTTGGCTTCTAGTCAGTTGGTTGTAGCATGGGATTAACGAGGCCAATGTGGTTCAAGCTCCCTTTGCGTCCAGCAAATTTATTCAGAGAAATGCTTTTACTCGTGTCCTCCCTAGCCAACAATCTTGTGACTGATTGATTGTCGAAAGGCAGACCAGGCAAGAGAATGCCTGGATTACCTGATTACTACTACTGCCTAGTACTAGTGTCTATGCAGTCGTCCTCATGTTCCTCTCAAGCCCTATGGACCGTACCGAGCCCTTTTTCTATGATGGCCCATTGTACGATAACCGTGTGGAGAGGCTGCCGCCATCATCATCTTACAGTTGAGAGAAAGAAAGCTGAACCAGAGAAGAAAGCCAAATGCATGCAGGTGACCCTCAGCAAGTGGAAGAAATACTTTACTGAGGAAAAATATATTCAAATCATTAACAAGTTTTCTGCACACCACCTAGATGAACAATGGATTAGAAACGAAATAACTGAGTAGTGCTAGACAATATCCTGACAACTTTGTTCTCTGCTTGCAATTCTTGCCCAAACTTACAAGCCATCAACAGACAGCCTGAAGTGTTCCCAGTAAGGTCGTGTGTTTCTAATTTGGGCTTTCTTTTCTCTTCAACAGCTATCCGGCAGGGGGTTGTTGCCTCCACTTGTGGCATCACCACAGCCTCTAATATAGGAAAAGCTAATACAGGGTTGGTCCCATTTACCATCCTCTTTAATACTGTGACACTTCCAGGTAGAACTTGAAGAGGAAGCTGACAATGAGAGTCCTCTTGAACTCTACCTTCCCACCTGGAGCTGAGCCTGGAAGGGAGACTTCATCCAGAACCAGCCTGCAAGCTGCGTCTAGCATCTCTTCATTCCAGGGCCTGTAGGGGTTGAAAAAGAAGACTCCTTGCCTGACAGGACTCATTACCTCACAGGCTCAGCAAGTGTGTGTGACAAATAGCTACAACCTAATGCATGAAATAAGAGTACAAGCTTCCAAGCCAGGCAACCCATATTCAAACCACAGTCTACCACTCTCAGGTGTCTGGCTGAGGCCTACCTCCTCCTCATCTATAAAAGGGAAATAATAGTAGAACTCACGCTGTGGAACGGTCGTGAGAACGAAATGACAAGCTGTATTAAGTCCTTAGCCAGGAAGCAAAGACCCCTGTGTCACTAGAATGTTTACTGCAAGACAGGTTTTTGTTCTAAGAACCTTATATGTATTCATTTCATTTAATCCTCTCAACTCTCTTATTGGTGGGGATGATTGCCCCCTTTTGATAGATAAGGAAACTGAGCTGTTGTAATGTTAGGTAAGGACTGAGATCATGTAATCAATAAGGGTTCAACTGAGATTTTGACCCAAGCATTTTGGCTCAGTTGAGCTCACGTTTTTAACTATTACTCTCTATTACTTACGAGAAGGTAACTGATACCTAGCATGTATTCAAGAAATACTGGCTATTAGGATTACCTACAGATATTAAAAGTCAGCTAAGCCAATGCATTTAGCTCTTTATGATAAGACGAACTCCCATAATCTGTTTTTCATTATGGTAAATTATTCTCTTAATAAAGAATGTAAATGAACTCATCTTGCTTACTGTATCTATGTGTTACTGAGATATGGGCCCTCTCTCTCTCTCTTTCTCAGGCGGACGATTCCCACTTCAGAATTCAGGAAAATCAAGACATGTGCAAATGATTATAAAATCTTATTGGAATTCCATACCATAAAATAAAAAGGTACTAAGCATTTTTCCTCTTGTAATTGCATGTCATAAAAAACAAACAAACAAACAAACAAAAAACAACCCCAAAAACTGCTCTGTCACTTGGAGTCTAAGGACATGATGCCATACCTTCCGATGAGCTTCTGGCAGGAATTCTTTGCACAGATGGTGGTTGGACCAACGCCTCCATACAAGATGGATAACTCTCTAGTGATGCCATTCCTTTCTCCAAAAAAGACTCTCATTCCTGAATTGACTATTGTGAGTGCGTTCTGTTGCCTATGGGCTTGGCAGAAGGCGGATACAAATTCCCACTGCAAGCAAGAGGTAAGTAGCACATGTAGAAACACACCGTTTCTAGGCAGTTTATGTATGTTGCCTCATAGATCCTTGTCACAGTCTGTTAGGGGCTGAATTGTGTCCTCTAACAGTTGATGTCTTTAAGTCCTAACTCCTAGTGCCTGAGAATGTGACTGCATTTGGATATAGGATCTTTAAAGAGACAATTCAGTTAAAATGAGGTAATTCGGGTAAACACTAACCCAACATGGTGGTGTCCTCATGAGAAAAGAAAATGTGAAAATTTGGACACATACGTAAACTAAGGGAAGACCTTGTGAAGACACAGGGAAAAGAGGCCATTTTCTACAAGTCAAGGAGAGAGGCCTCAGAAGAAACCAACCCTGTTGACGCCTTGATATCAGATTTCCAGCCTCCAGAACTGTGAGAAAATAAGACTGTTGTTTAAGCCACCCACTCTGTGGTACTTTGTTATGGTAGCTCTAGCAGACGAACACTCCCTCCAAGGCAGAGTTGATTGTTCCCTTTTCAGAGACGAGGGATCCAAGCCTTAGAGTAGGTCAATAATTAGTTCAGGGTTACAGTAGATCTTGAAACCAGGATTCAATCTTCAGTCTAACTCCAAAGACCTTTTTCCCCCACTATGTTCTATTGCAAATGTATTTTTTTTAGCCTCTTTCAAACCCCAAGATTTAGGCAGAAATGTATTATTGTCTTTTTTTTGGCTTATATATTTTTTCTTTTATTAAACTTATTGGGGTGGCAGTAGTTAATAAAAGTACATAAGTTTCAGGTGTACAATTCTATAATACATCAAGTCTTATTTCTGGAAAAGCCTCATGGCACAAAGGTTTTTAAAAAATTAAGAAAGTAACACTAGAGTTTGGAGTTGGGGGAGGTTAAGGGGAAGAGAGGCAGAGAAAAAGTTCTCTTGATTCCAGGAATGACAGAAGATTGCATAACACCAAGAAAAAGGACCCTATTTCATCGTGCACAATGCTCACTTTTTTGCCTAAATTTTTGAGGAAAAAATAAGGATGTACATTATACATGGGTAGTACTAATTTGTTAACGGTACATAAAATTTCTTGTACCTTGTGTCTGTTTTTATGTTTTGTAATTATTTGTTACATTAAATTTCTTGTATCATAATATGTTAAAAAATAAATGTTAAAATTCCTTTATAGTATGAAAAACAAGTATCTAAATATAAATAAATATGTAAATAAATAAATAATTGAATTAAAAAATTAAAACGAAAGATTTTTTTTTCCCCTGAAAGTTTGGGCCAAAAATGTGGGTGTGCATTATATACGGGTAGTTCCAGAATAGCCACGGGGATGTAAAGGACAGTACAGGAAATGGGCAGCCAAAGAACCCAAACGCTTGAGCCATGGACACGAACCATGGTGTGGGGATGGCCTGAGGGAGTGGGGGACGCTAGGTGGAGGGGGGCAAGAGGGGAAAAATTAGGACAACTGTAATAGAATAATCAATAAAATATAATTTAAAAAAAAAGAAAGGGTCATGCTCACTTTCCTGGAAAAGGTAATGTTCACTGAGATCAAGATTTCTTTTAGGCTTAAGATCTGCACTGGGGCACTTGCTGAGAAACTGCTCTTTTAAAGGAATCTGTCGTTCTCTGTCTGTGGACAGAAATGACACCTTCCCAGGAATCCTTACTGTTAAACAATCAAACTCCCCAGACCTGGGAAATAATTCTACCAAATAGCTGAGGAAACTGATTGGAGAAAAAAGCGCTCTTCCTATGCTTAACCGATCTTTTACTGTATAATGGCATCTTTTTTTTTTCTTTCTTGGCTTATAAATACAAATATCTAGTAGAGTAGCCCAGAGGTCAGGAAGAATAAGACCTTAGCAGCCTTCTTTTGAATAGCACAATTCATTTTGAGCTTTGTAAATAGGGAGTAGATATTAATACCCTTTTTGATATTCCAATCAAGTCATTCAACAAGCATTTGTTGTTTATGATCAGAACCCCTACTAGGTATAGTAATGAACAAATAAATTGACTTCAATGAATTTTTATACTAATGGGGGTGATATCTTTTTTTTATCTTTTTTCAGCACCTTAAGAATTTCTGTTCTTTAATCAATATATTTGGGGGGAAAATGTTTAAAGCTATAATGAAATATGACTTTGGGAGAAAAGCTGAGAAGCTTTTGATTTTTATATTCACATCACAAACCTCTTTCTCAATATACAGTTGTTAAAGGGATGCTATATAAATGAATAATTCTGAATGCAAATCTTCCTCCTTAGGATTATTTTGTGGCTTCAATGATATGAAGAGAAGGTATTTAATAATGCAAACAATAGAAATCTAGTCCCTATTTTAAAATTTAAAAAAAAACAACCCAGATTTACAGAGGATCAATAAGAATTTCCTAATAATTGTTGACCAAGGTGGAATAAGAAATAAATTAAAAGTCTTGACCTTAGTTTCAAAAACAAAGCTCAAGGACATACAGATAAAATACAGAAATAAATTAAAAGTCTTGAACTTAGTTTCAAAAACAAAACTCAAGGAAATACAGATTAAGCCTTACCATTGTACAAAAAAAAAAAAAAAAAAAAAAAAAGAGAGAGAGAGAGAAAGAAAAAGGTCTGAAGGCTTCCATCCATGACAAATTAGACGTGAGCGCACAGCATGGTGTGGGTGCCAAGCACACTCCTGAACCACCTGGGGAATGTCTTTGACAAAGGACCGAATTGTCCTCAACAGCCTCTAGTTCTCTCCATTGCTTGGATCACATCTGGACACCACTCACCCAATGTGGTCATTGTCGGATGACCAGTATGGGAAAATATCTAGCTCTGGTCCTCAAAAAGGAAGAGAGGAACACATTGGAAATATGTAGAATCAGGATCAGACTGACCAACTTTCCAGGATCCAGAAAGGCAGAGAGAATTACAGACAATATAAAGAATAGTCATTTTCAAAACTGGACTTCCTGTATCCCCAGAGAGACAGAGGGGGGAAGGAGCAGATTTAATTATCCTCAAGAAGGAGCTGTTACTTACCTTTTGAGAGCAAGTTGAGGGTACAGTTGCCCACAGCCAGGATGGGATTTAGATCTGAATCTAGATGTCTGCTCAAGATGTAGCCCCCTAAAGACTTTTTAAAATAATGAGTTATTTTCACTCCAGTTGTGCAAGTATAAAAACACTAGAGATAAAATAAGAATTAAGCAAGGCTTTGGAGAACTATACTTTTTTGCCTGTTTGAAAAGAATGAAACTGTTATGACTTGTTAGGGACAGTCATTCAAACAACATACACCAGTTTACTTTCATCAGATACATACAGCCATGTTCCTGATCTGGCATACAGCCAGAGTTCCCAAATGCTTCTGGAGAGCTTGGTATGTTTGTGTCTTCTCCTCTGGGAGCTTCAGGATTGCATCAGCCAGGATGTCTTTCACCTGAGCCAGGCTGAGGCCGGCACCAAAGATCAGCCCTGAAATGAAATCAGTAGTAGATAACACAATGCGATCATTGCTGACCTGGAAATATGCATTACGTTTCAGACTATGGATTTGGGGTCTTTATGCTGGATTCATGCTGCCCTGCTCATTGGTGATGATAGTGGTAGTGATGGAGGTGGTGTTGGTGATGAAGGTGTTGGTGATGAAGGTGCTGTTGGTGATGAAGGTGTTGTTGATGGAGGTGGTGTTGGTGATGAAGGTTGTGATATGGCTAAATGTTTTGAACACTGACTATGTCAAACACTATACTGAACACTCCACAGAATCTCCTTGAATCCTAACAAACTGTTGAGATATTATTAGCTCTATTTCACAGATTAAGAAACTGAGACTCAGTTAAGTAACTTGACTAAGTTTTTCCAGCTAATATGTGACATAGTCAAGAATTAAACTCCAAAGCCAGACTCCAGCCTCACATTTATATTGCTTCTCATCATTGCCATTAAATCAATTTCCTTTAATAGGATGAAAAGGAAAAACCAGGCTGTAAGTTGCTTAATACATAAACTTGCTTTGCTTACTACGGTGCTTCTGGAGATCAAAGACTGTGTTCTATTTGTCCTTATTTTCTGTCCATCACTTAGCACAATGCCCTTTATTGAACAGTTGTTAAATTTCTCCAATATGGAGCACATTGAAAGTTATCCAGTAAAACTTTCTAGACTACTCAGACTACTAGCATCTCATATAATTATAGAGAATCCTTTCCTGAGCCTCCTCCAGAGTGCTATCATTCTAATAAGAAGAGAATCTCTCTGTATATTGTAATTAGCAATAATTCTTTTTTCTGGTTCTCTGCTGGGCAAACAAAATAAATTAATGCATATTAACTAAGAAAACAGAGATCTTGAGAGCTCACCATTATATGCATAGTTCATAGCATTCAGTTCTTCAATTCTATCAGGAGAAATTATAACTGGGTGAAAGGCACCTTTAAACTTTACTTCAGGCCCTACAGGATTAAAAAAAAATAAGAAAACTAGGATAAAGGGGGCTAATTGCCTTGTTAATTTTGAAATTGTTATTAAAGCTGATGTCTTTAAGTACATAAAAACTACGTATCTTTCTACTGGCCTGTTCATTGCCAAGTCACACATGCACAAAGGGAATAGCCAGATGAATTTTCACTGCACTGGGGGACCCTTTGGACTTGTCAGCCTTAACACTTAGCCGATGAATCCAAGACAGCTTGTGGCATACTCAAAATTCTCCTGGGGAGGAACTCCAGGAGACTCCTCAAAGAGGCAGGCAGTCAAAGTGAGCTTACAATAGATACAAGAGGAAGACCCTGTAACTGCAGCTTATACCTACTGAGATACCACTGAGAGAGGAAAACAAAGAACCATTTCAAATATGAGCCCCAGATCAGTCTCCACAGGGCAAGACGGGACAGCTGTCACTGGACTGCTGCTCCTGCTTTGCTGTGAAGCAGGCCTCTTGGGTGCTACTCTGTGCACTGCTCCAATTAGGGACAATAGGAATTGACTTATGTAGCAGAAGTCGTGGAGGTCTTTTGAGCAATGCTGAGGAAGTCAAGATGGAATCAAGCAGATTTTCCTGAGACATGTATATGAGGTTCTTTTCCCCAGTGGACTTTCCCCAGGTTTCCTTGGGGTTCTGCATACCCGTGGAGGTGTTTCCCATGATGACAGGGGCCTGGGGATACTAGACTTTAGCTTCTAGAAGTTCCTTCAGGGTCACTGGGGAAATCCAAGTTATTCTATCACCACCAAAAACTCTGGTCCTTTGTGGTTGTCTCTCAGCCATTATCTGTTGAAAAACCAGTAGGAACTTGAGATTATCTTATGACAATATTTTCACCTGTTTTTGCTCTATCTTTGTAGGAACAGAGAAAGGAAATAGAGATTCTTAAAAAAATAAAAAATAAAAATGACCTAAAAGTACAGCTTCACTAGGAATCAGAATAAAAATAGGACAATATTTTACTCCTTCTGGGGACTGTCCCAATGTCTTTTTTTGGTATTTTTTTTTATCTCAAAGGAATTCATTTCAATGTTTGAAAATATTTTAACATGCCTAATTTTGTCAAAACATTCTATGGAATAATACACTTTCTACTTCCAGTAGAAAACATGTATAAATCTGCAAGTGTTGTCATGTCATTTCTTAACTTTTTTATAGATACTCACTTCTGATTCATACATTCAGCTGCCTCCTTGACGTAATTTCACGCTTACTCCCCCATCTCTGCATTGGTCCCAAACCTTTAGACATTGAACTAAGGATGACAGGTGGACATTACCTGTTTGCCAATCAGCCTTTGAGAGGATCCAGAAGCAAATATGATTCCTATCATTTCATTATGAATTCCTCTAGGATGAACTCAACTTTGCCTTAACTTACCATTTAGCTCAGGAGGAAAAATCAATTCCTGAGTTGGATCCAATGGCAGAAACTCCTCTTCTGAGAAAAGTTTTTGGCTTGTCTTAGAAAGAGAAAGCAACAAAAGTTACTGTCATCAGTCAACTCTAACTACTGTACTTTAAATCTTTTGTGGAATGAGGTCAGAACAAAAAAGATATACAGAGACAGATAAAAAAGCAGCTGGCCAGATATAATCCCTGGGCTTTAAGTCAAGGGCTCTAACACAGACCTGGTTCTTAGCACCACTGCAGATGTTTGTGAGCCTCCAAAGCCCTATACTCTCTCTGGAGTCTGGGGAAAGCAGAAGAGGCAGGCAGCAGCACCAGACCCCGCTGAGAACAAGAACGTTTCCCCGAGTTCCCACCTGTTCTTTCATCTCCCTAACATCTCCACTTTGCTTCTGGCCCTTGAAAAAAGACTCGAAGGAGGCTTTTTTAAAAACTAAGAAACACTAAGGTATCAATGTGGTTTTTTCTCCTAGAGATTGCTGTACTTTGAACAAGAGTAATATCTGGCATGAGGAATGAAGTTGTTAGGATAGATATTTTTGGGGGGGGTGGGAACAGAGATGGAGTGAGAATAGGAGAGGGGACACACCCCAAACTGACTTAACTTGGGTAGCCATTTATTCTTCCTAAAAGTCAGTGGGTTTCTGATTATGTCCTGAGAAATCCTTCTAAAAAATTTGTATTTCACTGACCTTATCTCCTTCCTCAAATTCTGGTAATCTATTTATTCCTTGGTTCAAACAGCAAACCCCATTTTCTTTACTTTGACAGCAGAGAGAAGTCTATTGGGTGAAAAAAACAAATAACCAAGAATTTATTCTGATTCTACTAAGAATTTTTCAGCTTTATTGAAGTATAATTGATAAATAGAATTGTATGTATTTACAGTATACAATGTGATGAATTGACATTTGTATACTTTGTTAAATAATTACCACATTCAGGTTAATTAACACATTTATTACCTCACATAATTACCATTGTGTGTGTGTGTGTGTGTGTGTGTGTGTGGTAAGAACACTTAAGATCTATTAGCAAATTTCATGTACACAACACAGTATTACTAACAGTTGTTACCATAATTTAAACATCTTATGACAACATCTGGCACATAGTAATAAATATTAACAATGGTTTATTTTTAATATTGATATTTAACATTTTATTAATAATAAATGTTAACAAGTATTATTACCACTTTGTTCTTGTTTATGGTATACTGGTTTCATGGTTTAACTTTCAAAGGACAATCTGTGTCCCTCATTTCAAGGTTGTTTGCCCACCTAGTCATTCAGCAATTATTGACGGAGTGGTTATTTAATCAGTGAATGATGACCAGCTCTGGAGAAACTTGGCTTCTACTGTCAAGCACATGAAAGGCTGATGAACAGACAGAAGAGCAAATGGGCAGTCCCACCACTGTGTGCGCAACGCTGTGATAGGGTAAGGCTGTGATAGGTTACGCAGGGAGGGCCGCAGGAGCACAGCACGGGGTATCTGACTCGGGAACAAGGACCCACAGCCCATATCAAAGGGTTTAGGTGCTCCTTACCAGAGTACTAAGGCAAGCCCAGTGAATGAGAGTACGTGCCCTGCCTAAGGTCAGATAACAAACCACAATCACAGACCTTGAGATAAGAAGTAGCCCTGAATCAGTACCCACGTGGCTGTTCTCCTTATCACGCCTGACAACCATAGTGTTTTGTTTCATTGGGGAAAAAAATGTACTCAGTAGATTCTGTTTCTTCTACTCACATTAGAGAAAGTCTTGCATGCATCAATTATGGGCCTGTATCCAGTGCAACGGCACAGGTTACTTAAAGGAGAAAAACCCAGCTCTGTTCATCAAGGCTAAAGAGGGGCACAGACTGCCAAATGCATGATGGAAATAAGGGCCCCGTCCTGGAAGGAAGCCCTATTTGACTGACATTTCAGTCCACCAAATCTACAAAGGCAGATTTTTTTTCATCAGTAACTTGGGATATTTGGTCAATATATAAAGTTACTGCAAAGAGTAAATGAGATAATCTTTACATAGGCATTTAACGCACCATGGGGCACATGGTAGGTGTCCAATATTAATATTCGTCATTGTCATCATAAACATTATTTAAAAATAAAAGCACACACACAAAGAACCTACCACCAAGGGCATCAGTTAACTGATCCAGAGTGGGATCAGGATGGTTCTTGAGCAGCGTGTAGATGGACATCTCCATCCCAGGGTTGCAGAACCCACAATGGGTGCCATGACACTTGGTGATCCTCTCCTGGAAGCAAAAAAAACGTTAGAAGTGCAGAATCTTGGGCTCCACGCCAGACCTACTGAATCACAACCTGTATTTTCACAAGATGACCAGGTAAATCACATGCACATTAAAGTTGTAAAAGAGGCCCCAGGCAATCCTTTTCATCCCAGACATCTCCCTTTCCTGGGCTGGGTGGCCATGATTACTGGTCTTCACCAGTTTTGGAGCCTCATTCAAGGTTTTAAGCCTCCTGAAACACCAGGGGGAGTTGAAACATTTCCAAAAGCAGCAACCAAGATCACACAGGCATATGTTTTTTAAAGATTCCCAGGTGGTTTTGATTTGTAGTCCCGAATGGGAATAACTGAGATAAAGGTTACTTCTCAGAAGCCTTGCAGAGAAATGAACTGAATCATACTCAAGGTGAGGGGGGATAAACCCCAAATGAACAACAACCAAACAAACCCCAAGTATTTTCAGCATCCCTATATCTGCCCACTACCACCCTAATGCTTTGGCTCATAGAAGTTTGTTTACAAAGCGCCAGTGCGTCCTGAAAACAATCAAGAAGGAAACATAGCCTTGAAGGAAACACAGCCTTTATTTTTCTTCCAACCCTTTCCCACCCCCAGCATGGCCTCTTGGGAATCTAACTTCAAAGGTGCAAACCCATTTTGGAAGCTGTCTTTTGGCTGCATTGCAACCAGGAGCTCAGCAGCAGCTGCTGAACGAAAGTGTGTTTTTGTGTCTGCAAACAGCAAAGTCTCACAAGAGTATCCAGGCAGAATTCGCTCCCTCTAGGTAATGGGTTTCATAGAACATAAACAGAACCCAAGATACTTTCAAGTCCAGAGCATTTGAAGTTGGGCCACTTTCTAGGTCATCCCAATCTTTTCCCTCTTCAGTCCTCTCCTCTTAAGTGACCCTCATCAACTTAGATAAAAACATGTAGCAAACAGCATTTTCATGGCAAATGTATAAAAAACTTGAAAGACCTAGGAGTGACAGGTGCCCTCTCACTTGAGGCAAAGCTCTAAGAAGGTGCTGCCTTAGAAGGAAAAGCCTCAAAATTCATTGACAATTCCTATGACCTGTCTTCTAAACACGTCCTACATTTAACTCTTTTGGGTAGCTGAGATTTTCATTCAGCTTTAAAATCATGGTATTTTCTACTTTATAAAAACAAAACAACAATAAAATTATATTCCTCAGTGCACATGGCTCTCATTTCTTTGTAAGGTTGGAAGATGTAAGGTGGATAACGAATAGGTCCCATCTAATTAGAACACAGAAAACAAACACAGTGATGGCAGGGTTTTTGTTGCTGTTGCTGTTTGTTTTTAGAGAAAGTCCTCTAGTCTCTGGAAAGCATCTTTCCAAGAAGTCAGTCACGAAACACCCACGCAGCCCAGGTTTCACTCGCGGTCCCAGCTTCTTTTCACCTGCTGGCTGACCAAGCATGAGGGCCCAGACAACGCTGCTGTGTTCATCTCAGGGGCTCATCATGACGTGAACTGTTTTCAAAGCCCAGAAATCTTAGGAAGCAGCAGCTCACCCTTACCTGAACAGGATGAACCCTGGTCGTGGTGCCTCCTATGCCTTCTACTGTCGTGATGGCAGCACCGTACACAGAACAGAAGGGGATCAGACAGGCGTTGGCTGGGCAGTGTCTTCAGAACGCAAAAGAAAAGCACAAATTATACTGTGCAAACCTCTACTGAGCATCTCCGATATGAAAAGTTTCATATACTGTCCCAGGCTTTGCATATAAATTTTATCTTGAGCTCACGTTCATTTTACCAAAGCAGGTATCTGAGAGTCAGAGGGATTTGCTCAGGGACACAGCTGGATGCCAGAGACAGGATTCAGTTCAACCTCCACATTCGAACTCCAGAACCGTTCCCACTAACTTTGTGTTTGTTCTCTTCAATGAGGGTCTGACACTCTCCTCTCTAGAGCATATCCATCTTCTATGCAGGTGCTGAGCCAGGGGTTGGTTGGGGGAAAAAGTGCATTTGAAACTGTGCTTCAGAAGAAGAAATAGGGTGTGGGATACACAACCCCTCAACCCCACAAACCTACTGCTTGAGTATGTGCGAGTCAAAATGTTCATTTGAAAATGTTCCCATTCGCCACACAGAACTACAAATGATATGGCCAATTAAATACATGAAACATATGTTCAACTTCAAAATAACCAATAGCAATTCAAATTATGCAATGAGAAACACAATTTTATTTAAAAAAATTATAAATATTTTAAAAAGTTGTAACAGCATTATTACCAAAGGTTTGGAACAATGAAACTCATGTATTGTCGTATAAAAATGTAACTTGATAGAGCTCTTCTGGGAGTCATTTGTCTGGAAGGCATGAAAACCTTTCAGGTGCAAACACTCTTTTACTCTGAAATTCTGCCTCTATGGATGTATTATAAATGGTCACAAACATAAATATATATATGCACACACACGTATAACTGACATGTTGCTAAAATGCACAAGAAAAAGCAATCTGTCTGGGGATTGATTTTTGTGCACTCAAGCAATGGAATATACACAATCATTAAAATTACATTATTTTAAAAAAATATTCATGAGAAGTTAAACAAAACGTACAGGGTTCTAAACAATCATACGCAGTATGCTTCTGTATGAACACACACAAAGGAAAGATCAAAAAAATATCATTCACTTATAAATAAATGTAAATATTTATTGAGTGCCTTCTATGTAGCAGGCAGAGTTCCAGATGCTAGGAGTCACTGGATAAAAATCCCTTCCTGTGTAGAGGGAACATTTTAGTGAAGGGAAGATAGACAATACCTATGTACATAGACAATACATACATACATACACTGAGATGGTGAGAAGTGCTATGAATAAATTAACATAGGCTAAGAGAATTGGGAACTGCAGAGGTAAGGTGGGGACTGCTGCGAAGGCGTGGCCAGGGAGGGCTGAGAATGTAATGTTTTTGCTTAAACCTGAATGATTTGGAGGAATCAGGCATGAAAAGTTGTAAATGAAAACATTCCAGGCAGGGGCACAACGCATGTACAGGCGCTGAAGCAGAAATGAGCTTGGGGTGTTTAAGGACAGAATGAAGGACAGAAAGAAGGCCAATGAGGCTGGAGCTTGTGAACACAGGGGTTCACATTCAAGGCTGAGAGAGGCAGGGACAAGATAGGTAACGGTGAAGGACAGGAGGCACAGGAGGTTGAATATTGATTCAGAAGCAACAGACCGTCCAGTTCAGATGTAGAAAGTTGTAAGAAACTTTTCACTCTCTTTCTAAAACCCTTAACGATTCCTGTAATAAAACCCTTAAATGCTTTATAGTCATAATTTGAAAGAATTCATGAGATGCTTAGTATGCTAACATACTATGTTAACATAGTATGTTAAGTATATTATAAGAGAGAAGGCTATTCTCATCTGTAACTGAAATGGACAGAGGAGAAGGAATCTGCCTTAGTTAGGGAGGAGTAGGAAGGACCCAGACCAACTTTCAGAAAACTTTTAACAGCTACATGTCGGCGGATGTAATAAATTAAAATACAAATCTGGACTCACAATTCCCAAACTCTTCCCCACCAGACTTCACTGAACACTGAGGGCAGGGATGGGAGCTGAAAGAAACTCTCCAGGCAAATTGGCCCTTAGACGAGGAGGACGTGGGGAGAGCAGGAGAGCTGAGAGAAAACCATGGGCACAGAGTGTAGGGCAATCGCCACCCTCCAGAGGCTAAAGCCAGGTGGCACGGCTGCAAGAGATCTCCCAAAGCATAGAAAGTGAAACAGGAGAGCAAGAAGAACTCCCCAGTGACCGAAAAAGTGGGTATCCAGGCTGTAAAGCTGGGAGAGATGCCCAGAGTTCAGGAAGCGGATGGCTTGGCCATGGAACACAGGCAGTTCTCTGAAATATTTGTCATATCAGTTCTCTGATATCTCACCAGTGTTCACATTCTTGGCCCTCATCTGAGATTTGTGAAACAATGTAAAATGGTCTAACATGCATACCTGGAGTCCCAAAAAGGGGAAGGTGAGGGAGAGAGAGAGTGAATAAATATTTGAAGAGGTAACGGCTTAAGAAGTTTCCAAAGCAGATAGAAGACGTAAACCATAAATCCACAGATGCAAGAAACTCGGCAAATGTGAAGAAGAAGAAGAAATAGCAGACATGAAAGAGAAGAGGTTAAATGTAATGGGGATCATTGGTGATTTTTCAGTAGGAGAGTGTTGTGATCTGACTTAGACTTGAAACAGATTTCTCTGAGCGATTTATGGAGAATCCACTACATGGGAGCAAGGGTGGTGCAAGGAGGTCATCAGCCGGCTGCAGTGGTAATGCAACAGCGTGAGGGGGACCTTATCCTTCCCTGCGATTTCAGCACAGGGGGCCCGACAGCCCTTTAACTTTCAGCAGGGGCTTCTCCGACTATGTGTTATCCTCATTGATGGCACATTTTAAATAATCCATTCATATTCCTGAGATAATGTTTGCTTTGTTCATCACTAGGTACTACCTAGTACAGTTCCTGTCACAGAGCAGGTGCTCAATGCATATTTACCAAATAGAGGACTAAAACGAGGCTTAAAACTACAAAATTTCAATTGTATCTGAACTTTGCTACAAGGTACCTTATCTTCCTGGTAGCGGGGCTATAGCGTGATACCCTCACTGTGCAGGCTCCGCAGCCTCCCCCTCCACAGCTGTACTTAGTTCCTGTGAGTTGGACTGCAAAGAGCACAGTTAAGGATAATGTATTTTCCATAATTCTCTTTCCAGAATAGCATGAGTTCAGGAGACAATATTATCAAAGATTTAAATATATAATTAATTGATACATAATTTGATACATAATTATCAAATGATGATTTAGATCTTAGCTACTATTATTCAGAGTCTTGTAAATTCTTCATTTCCATTTCTGTGTTATATCTAGTCTTCCTCCTTTTCAAAACAACTGAACTTCGGGTTGCCAAAAATTAGGCCAAACTAAGAAAAAGGATGAGTCTATACATACAAGGACTTAAGTATGAGTACATTGTACATTTGTTCTCAACATTACCTGTCTTTGATGACATACAAAGTAAAATGTCACTTATAAAACAATTCTTGAAATATTTGTCATATTATCCATGTTTGCCATATTTCTCTGCTTCTTGGTGGCAGAAACTGCTAGTTGTTCCCCGACATCTGATTACTTATTCTTCCTTGGTAATAGAAACCTCCATTTTAAGCTACACACATGGTTTCCCAGAATAAAAATTATATTTTCCAAGCCCCCTCTGCAGCCAGATGGAGCCATTAGCAATGGCGGCCATAGGGATGTAAGTGTAGGTGTTGTGTATGACTTCCAGGAGTGAAATGTCTTCAAAAGGAGGAGGGTGCCTGCTTCTTCATCCCTTACTTCTTCCTATTTTCTGGAATTCAGATATGATGGCTAGACCTCAGTAGTCATCTCTGATGATGAGGAGCAAGCTGCATGCTAAGGGCGGGCAAAGCAGGAAGATGTAAGGAACTTGGTTCCCTGATTACATCGCGACCCTGCTTTACCAGCCCTGATCTAACTGCCTTTGGGATTCCTTTACGAGAGCATGACATTCATGAGACTGTGCCTCACACACCTTCAACAGGGAGGGTAACTGACCAAGAGACCTGGTGGCTGCACTTTGAAATCCATTCCTCCAGGTGTTGCTGGCTCCCTCCCTATTTCCTTTCACTCAGTCATTTCTTTTAATAAGATTCTTGCACATTTAATCCCATTGTTTGGTCTCTGATTCCCAGAGAATCTGAACTAACACAATGAGAAAGGAATAAACTTTTCTTTTCTATCTTGTTTATTGATATTGGGGATTTTCTTTCACTCACAAGAGAACCAAATCTGAAATAGTATACATTAGTACCATGGATAACCAGGAAATCAGTGTTCATTATATTTATGTCCAAAGATCTTAAGGATTTTCAGAATATAGTTATTGAGGTTTTTTGAGAATTGTTTTGGGGATTTCACTCTTTCCAGAAGGAAAAAAGAGTACAAACTCTCATTGTCACATAATTTTGAATATAATTTAATGAGTTCTACAGAACTCTGGAAGCCCACTGGAGTTCATGCTTAGTAGGCTAAGAATTTATTCCTTACATGACTTTTATTTAGAAAGTTTTTCTAAGGTAGCATTCTCAGGTTTAATTTCTCCATTTTTCTTTTACTTTCATTTCAGGAGATTTCGGTGCTCTCTTTTTCTGATGGGCATGATGATTAGTCCTCAAAGACAGAATGTCAATATTGTGACTCTTAATTCTAAAGGATGCTTAATTAAACCCCTTTTAACATCCATTGTTTTCATTCTCATTGGTAGCTTTTCCATTTATAAAATATTAAGTGCCGAAACAGAGATTGGAAAGAACTTGGTTCTTCTGACAGTCACAATTGCACAATTGCACACTGCCCACAAAACTAAGAGGTAGGACTTTCTCAAAGAAGAACCACAATAAAACCACAATAGTAGACAATATGACTCAGTGTGTCTCTAAAAAGCTACTTGAAATATCACTTGATGGGGATGTCAGAGCCACCCTGCCCCCACACAAACACAAAGCAAAGGGAAAGGATATGCTTCTTTCTCAGATATGGTAACAGCATTGTTTCAGGATCAACATTTTTTTCTATCACCTGAACCGGAAGGAAAAATAAGTTATGTACACAAATTTTAAAGAGCTTTTGTCATTTTCTATTAGCAGGCTTATGTTAATTTGGTGAAAGTGCACATTAATTAGCTAATTTTTATATCTGCAACTTGATTTAATGTTTAAGGAACATCCATAATAAAAAAATCACCTCACTTAAGTGTAAAGTCTTTCTCCAAAGAGGACATAGAGATGGCCGATAAACATATGAAAAAATGCTCAATATCACTAATCATCAAAGAAATACTAATTATAACCACAATGAAACATCACTTCACACCTGCCAGAATGGCTATCATCAATAAATCAATGAACAGCAAGTGCTGGTAAGGATGTGGAGAAAAGGGAACCCTCATGCACTGTTGGTGGGAATGCAGACTGGTTCAGTCACTGTAAAAAACAGTATGGAATTTCCTTAAAATTAAAAATGGTACTGCCTTTTGACCCAGCAGTCCCACTTCTGGGAATATATCCTAAGAATCCTGAAACATCAATTCAAAGAAAATATGCAACCCTATGTTCATAGCAGCATTACTTGCAATAGCTTACAGTTACTTACAAGATCTGGAAACAGCCCAAGTGCCTATCAATAGATGAGTGGATAAAAAAGCTATGGTACATTTATACAATGGAACAGTAAATGGGCATAAAAAAGAAGGAAATCTTATCTTCTGCAACAGCATGGATGGACCTGGAGGTTATTACGCTAAGTGAAATAAGCCAGTCCGAGAAAGACAGATACCATATGATCTCACTTATATGTGGAATCTAATGAACAAAATAAACTGATAAACTGACAAGTAGAAACAGAGGCATAGATACGTGGCACAGGCTGACAGCTGCCAGAGTGGAGGTGGGAGGGGGGAATGGATGAAAAAAGGGGAGGGGATGAGCCAAAGAGCATGTATGTGTAGCTTGGCATAACGCAGACACAGACAACAGTGTGGTGATGGCCAGAGAGGGAGGGGTGGGAGCTGGGTGGAGGCAGGCAAAGAGGGGAGAAATGAGGACATCTGTAATAGTGTCAACAATAAAAATAAAGAAAAAATATTTTTTTAAAAAGTGTAAATTCTACATCTAGGGCCCCACCACCACTTGGCCACTGTCCTTGGTCCTGAACCATCACATCCCTGTTCACTGCCCTCTAAGGCAGCGGAACACTAATGACGCCTGTCCAGCTGCTCCAAGAAGTCTAACGTGGGTAACGGAACAGATATTAGTAAAAAATAATGATGGAGGGAAGGAGGGACAGAGGGGGGAGAGAGCGAGAAAGAGAGGGAGAGGAGAAAAAGAGGGATATACTGCTGGAATAGAGTGGCTTCTGAGAAATTGATATAGTTTTTTTTTTTTAAAGACTGATTTGCTTATCATGTTTAAAGTTTCCAGAAAGAGATTACAATCAACCATGGCCCATAAATCAAAAGAAAAGAAGAAGAAGAAGAAGAAGAAGAAGAAGAAGAAGAAGAAGAAGAAAGGAGGAGGAGAAGGAGGAGGAGGAGGAAGAGGGAGAGGAGGAGGAGGAGGAGGAGGAGGAGGAGATAAAACATGCATGCCAAGTGATACAAAGAAGTGTAAGCAAGGACACCATTAAGAAGCAAGTCTGTGTGTGCAGCACAGCAGCAGAGAGGTAGAACAGGACACACAACAGATGGCATGATTGAAATGGCACCATTGATTATGTTTTCCAAACTAATCAAGTTTTCTCTTTTTTGATTAAAAATTTGAATTTCTTATATATTCACAAATAAAAGCATCGTTTACTTCATAATTTCAGAAGTAGAGTTCTTCTTTCACCATGTTCATTAATTTTCCCTTCTGGGAGGGTAGATGAGGAGGGGGCACATGTTTATTCTATGGATGCCTCCTCACCCTTAATTCTAAGTGGCCATATGCCTGGCAAAGAGACACACATACCAATCACCAAGGTCAGATATATGCCTTAGAGGAATCTCCAATATAGTAATACAGGGAGTACCCCAGGCTTAATTGACCCTCAAATAGAACTCTTTATTTTACTTTTTCCCTTCTTGTCCCTTACTTGTTCAATAGCTCACCATCTGCTTAGGTCATCTAAGATTAGAAATTTTCAATGTTTTCTTTCTTTTGGTCCCCCACAATCAGGGACACCAATTATACTTCCAAAATGATTCTCTAAACACCCTTCACTTCTGTGCCCACTCCCTGAAATCAACCCTGTTGTCTCTGGCCTGAACAATTATACCAGCTCCCTAACCAGCCCCCTGCCTCCATTCTTGGTGCCCATGATGCCACCCTCTATACCATGATCAGGGCAAGTTCTCTAAAACCCAAGTCTGATCATCTCCTGCACCTGCCTACATTCAACACAGGCTCCTGGCTGCCAAACTGCCATGCTGGTTCATGGAGATACTTGTTAAAATGAAACTCCATGGAACTGGAATTTCTGAGAGAGGAAACAAGAAAATGTGCATCTTTAATGAGCACCCAGAGTGGGTCTTGGGTGAATTTATATTCAAGTGCACCTGGGATACAAGGAGAGATTCAAACATCTTGGAATAGCCTACAAAGCCTCTTTGATAAACTGCCCATTATCTTTCTTCCACTTAACTCGTGTATCTTGAACTTCACTCACATGGCAGAACCAGCCAGTCCTAGCACTGCATGGACCTTTATCCTTCACTACATGTGCAAGTACAGAATCCCTGCGGCTCTGAAAGTCTTCTGCTTCTCCTAGCTTGACAGAATTTTGTGTGTCGCTCAAAGCTCTGCTCAAATATTCTCTCTTGTTGGCAGGTGCTGCCATCTACTACCCCCTTCCCACTCTGCTCCCAGTAGCCATACTCTTCTGTGCTCCCATGGCCAACGCCCACACATCGTTCACAGAATGTTTGACCCTGCATCATAATTATTGGTGATGTATAAGCCTTTTCTTGATCCCTGAGATAAATCACCTCCTGCTACTATCCTTTGTGTCAGCCACTGAGTTGGGTGCTGGTGATATACCATAGGGACATAATAAATGTTAATTAATTGAAGTGAATAACTTGAACATGATGTGTACAATTTGCTGTGAGAACATTAAGGAGGGAGGGATGATTTCTCACAGGGTGGGACATCTGAACAGAAGAAAAGGAAGACAAGGAGAGAAGTGCCAATAATGGTGGCAGAAACTGCTGGTTGTCTATCCCACCATATGCTCTTCCTTTCTTCCTTCCTGCTGCCTGGAATAGGAATGAAATGGCTAGAACTCCAGCAGCCACTTTAGACCATAAGGCAACATATTAGCAGCAGCAGAGGAGAAAGAAGGAACCTAGGTTTCAGATGACACAAAGCTTCTGGACCAGCCCCGTAATGTCTATCCCCAGATATCCTTTATTTAAAAATAAAAAAAATGATTTATCTTGTTTGAATCACTGTTAGTTTTGAATTTGTGCCATTAGTAGCCAAAACTAATCCTAATACATAGGCTGGCAAATCCACAGAAGCCAAATTTTAGTGGAGAGACAGATCTGGGCAGCCTAGATAGCAAAGAATAGTATTTTAGGCTTGAGATGTATTTGTATATTTTTAAAAGAAATTAATGGAAGCAGAGACCTTGCTTGTTTGGGTATTTATTCCACATGTTTCAAGAAATTGGAGTTTGGCTCCAACTGTCACTGGCTTGAAATATGTTTATTTTTCTTGATTTGGTGGACACATATTTAGAGGAGGGAAGAAGAGGAGGGAAGTAACATGCCCCCTTTCTCGGTGGGTGTTGGAGTTAAACTGGGAGGCCAGGATCAGATAGTGGCTGGGGGTGGGGAGGAAATGGGAAACAGAGTTATTCTCCCTGACTTTAGTTTGGAGAGATGATGCCAGTTCTCAGGTCAAGACAGGCTGCTCTTGCAACGCCAAGTCTTAGGTGTTGCAAGAACAGCCTGTCCCTTTGTATTCCGACCAGCCCTTGGGGAGATTTCAAGTTCGTATTGCACAAAGTTGAGAAATCACTTTCCTCTGTGTAAGGCTGAGGAGGGCTTCTCAGACCCAAGACAGAAGCAGAAAGAAGAAAAAGGAAATTGAGGGGAGAGGGAAAGGAGGTGACAGAATGGCGACGAGGAAGGGAGAGAGATACGTGTGGAAGGACAAGGCTAACAAGGAGCAGAGGGAGGAAAGAGGGCACACAGTGTGGGGCTACTGGTGGTAGGGAAGCAGAATAACCCACGGCAGCATTAGAGCAGAGAAGGAGGTCTGAGGGGACAGCCAGTGAGGACACTTCCGCCTGAGCTTCAGGTGCTTTAAAATTCATTTTAATTCCTGCCTAAGCCGCCTCCATCCCTTCCATCTTTCTCGGAATTATCACAGCCATCCCAGCAGCCCAGAAATGTCCTCGCCCAGCCCTGTAAACCAAAACCCCAGAAACCACTAGTCAGTGGACAGCTTGGTCCAGATTCTGATATTGATATCAAGGCCGTACCTTTTGTTGAGCAAAGAAAAGGCTACTTTTTAGCCCCCTTGATATTTGGCAGGTTCTGGCTCTATGCATGAAGCAGATTATTTTCCAGTCCAGATATTAAAAGTCATTACCGAGTGTTTAACTGGGTCCCAAGTGCTTTGCTAACCACTCTCCGTGGAATTTAATCTTCACCTCCATTCCATGGGAGAATGTGTTGTTATTAGCTCCATTATGCAGAGATATTAAGCAACTTGTCAGTCAGAGATATTAAGCAACTTGTCCGAGGTTCTAGAGCTGCTGAGTGGCAGAGCAGACAGGGCAGGATTCAAATGTGTCTAACTAGTTTCAAAGCCCACATCGTTGATCTTTACCCCTCACTGCCACGTAGAATGACGTGCTTCCGTCCAGAGTTGCATTAGCGAGTGGCATCCAGGGCATAACATATTCATGGGCTCTTCCCCTCTCAAGCTTCATGGCAACTGGAACACCTGTTCTGGGGGCTCTGGTGGGGCAAGTCAGACTTCAGAAATCTCTCTGCAACTAAATCTCTGACCAATGAGCAGTGGCCTTAGACCCTGTCCAATGCCATCTTTTGGAGATTTGGGGGGTTTCACAAAAAGCACAGACCGCAGGCCAATCACATCACCCGGAGTCTCCTAATTGGCTTCTAAGCTTCCTTGCAAGGGCAAGTTTTTAATCCCAGAGGTTATGCTAGACTTCGAGACCCGTCTTCCCTGATGGTTTCTGTATCACACTTTTCTCAACAGTCTTTCCCCTGTGAACCAGAAACTTTATACAAATGCCGTCCATGTGATCCTGGCTTGCTTGCCAGGATTAAAGCACACTCTTAACAAATATTGGAAGAGAGGGGAAGGAAAGGGAAAGGTTGACAAGATGTCTTTTAACAGGGTAATTGTAAAATCAACATCCTTACAGTGTACTTTCCAAAAGATCTTAGGACACTTGGCTCATAAATCAAGCCCATAAATAAGAACCAGCTTATTTATTTTTAAAAATCAACAGGGTACAAACTGTTATTAGCCACTGTGTCAAAAATCCCTCAGCAGTTTGTTTGGGAGCCAGGGAAGGGGGTGTTGGGTGGGGAGGAAGAAACTAGACTCAAAACATCTATTTCCTCATTTAACCAAAACCCTTACCAGTGCCTGCAAAGCTGTAGTAATCTGACCCCTGGCCAGTCTGCAGCCCCACCAGCCTCCTCGCCATTCCCTCGCAGCCCAGGAGTCCTCCTGTGGGAGGACCTTCGCACCTCCCCTCCCTCTAAAACACCCTCCCTTCAGGTGTTTGCAGGCAGGGCTCCCTCCTTACTTCACGCCAGTCCCTGCTCAAATGTCGTCCTCCCAGAGGCCGCAATGTCCATCCCACCGAGAGTATCAGCTCCCGCCCACTCTCTGTCCCGTCACTTTATTTTTTGTCCTAGCTCTTATCACTGCCTGACCTTATACATTCCCACTTATTTGGATGCTTGTTGTCTATTTGCCAGCACAGTATAAACTACACACAGGCAGGGACTTTGTCATTTCTGTGCTCTGCTGTATCCCCTGAGCTGGGGACACTGCCTGGCATAAAGTGGACCCTCAACAAAACCCTGCTAAGTACCCGTCATCACTCTGAAGTAAGCAGTAGTATTCTCTTTTTAACAGAGGAGCTGAGGCTCTCAGAGGTTAAAGTGTCTCCATAAAAGTTAGAGCCAAAATTGAACCCTTGTTTGTTTCAATAAAAAGGCCAGGGTTGCACTAACTGTACCATTCAGTTATGCAAAAGAAGAAAAAGTGGCATCACGCGAACACTTCGCTCCTTCGCCCTATGTCCCTCTCACAGCCGTCCTGTCAGGGGGTCCTGACAGTCTCCTGTACAGGTCGGGAGACACAAGCTCACCTTAGGCAGCGGGGAAGCCAGAGAGCACGGGCAGAGGAAGGCTCGACGGGAGCTAGAACTTGTGTAGTTTGAGGGGGCGGGGGGAGCAGTCCTCTTCAGAAAAATACTACAAAACCACAAATGTTAAATTAAGCTCAGGGCTTAGAAGTCCTCTCACAGTGAGAGAGGCCCTGACGCTTGACCTTCCTGTAGCTCCCAGGCGAGTTTCCTGGGCCAGTCAGGAAAAGTGCTGTGGATTCTGTGACCCGGGAGGAGGGATCACAGGTGGCCCTGCAGGCGATGACACAGTGGAAAGGCAGGTAGCACAGCTGGGATGTCGGCTCTTCAGGACGCCCCTTAACCCTCCTGTCTTAGTTCCCCCCTTGCAACATGATGCTAAGATGCTGGGACATGAAGAGCGAGCAGAGTCATGCCTGTGTGGGGCGAGGGACAGCCGGGATAGGGAAGGTGTCTTAGGTGATGCCCCGGGGCTTTGCGTCCGCAGCGACGTCAACGCTGCCTGGAACTGTCCCAGAGGCTCTGCAGAGCACGCCTGGCTTCTGAGTGGACAGAGGCCATGCCAGGCCACACCAGCAGTGGACTTAGTGGAGACCAAGTCCCCGGAGCCCGACATGGGCGCCGCTCTGCCAAGATCTGTGCCTTCAGAAAGTTATAATTTTGTTATCTGAGAAACGACGGCAGGGATTTGAAATCAGTTCAACTCTGCGGTCCTGTCCCAACCCTAACCGCCCCCCCCCGCTCCTCCAAACCCGCCCCCGGAGCTGAGTCTCCGCCGTCTCCAGATCGCTCTCAATCTATTGGAACACAGTCTCCTTCCCGGTGGGGTAGGAGGGAGGGAAGAGTTGGGAGCGCACAGCTCGGTGAATAAGAATAGCTCTTTCTTTCCTTGTTTATAGGGTGGGGCAGGGAGGAATCAGCCCTTGCGCCTCAGAGGAAGCGGGGAAAAGGAACAGCAGGAAGGTGGGGGCCCACAGGCCCTGGGCAGTCAGTAAATACTCGAGCTTTACCTACCCCGGGGTGGAGGTGGGGTGCAAAGGCAAGTCCGCTTGCAGCCCACAAGCGCCCCGCGTGCATTAGCGCCCCAAGCACGAGGGCCAAGGGGCCGGAGCCCCTCCCTGCGGTTCCCCGAGGGCCCGGTGCGCGCACCTTGCGCCCGTTCAGGTAGAGGAGCAGCTCGGCCGCCCCGTCCATGGTGGCGACACACGCGGGTTCCTCTGCGCGGGCTCGGGATTCCGAGGGCCCCCGGGAGGGATCGCTGGCACCCCAGACCCGACCAGGCGAAAAGACGCGACTGCTGGAGCAGGAAATCCAGCCAAGCCGGATGGAAGAGTCCCGATTAAGACGCCAAAGTTCGGCGAGCGCCTTCCAGGATGTTAGGACGACACCGGGGCGCACTATCCGGGCTGATGCCCGCGGCGCAGATCCCTTCACCTCCCCGCTGCGGGCGCTTGGCGTCCGCGCCCCGCTCCTGCCTCTCACCGGCCCCGCAGGTCCTGGGACGGCCTCTGGGGTCATCCGATCTTATTCCGTATTTTAAGTGGCTTCTCAGCTGGACTTCCAGTCCGGGAACAGTAGCGTTTGGGTGGGTTTTTTTTTTTTTTTTTTGTGGTTGTTGTTGGGTTTTTTGTTGTTTTGTTTTTGGGTTTTGTTTTTTTTTTGTACATGCCCCTCTCACCACGCCCTCTGCAGTCCTGCACCCTTCGCAGTTAATAAACAATCACATTTATTCCAAATCTACAGGAAAGGAGCTTAAGGACAACTAACGGTTTTCCCACTTCGTCTAGTTTATTTTCAAAATCAAGAGTTACCTTCATATGGAAATAAACTTTTAAAAAGATCTGTCATTATTCAGTTTCCATAGTAAATAACCACAAAGTTTATCTGGCAAATATCAAAAGAGGTATAAAACACCTGGGAGAACTTTTTAAAAACTTGGAAAATGCTGAAAAGCCTAAAAATAAAAACCACCTGTAGGCTTGCGACTTAGAATTCACCACAGCTAACTTCTTAGGTCTGTCTTTACATTTTTGAAATCTGCTGTGTAACACCTTTTAAAATTTTGAATGGCACTAGTTATTTTCCTCGCCTTGTTTTACCTACTCCACCCTGGAAGTACGGAGGAGGGAGAAATATCCAACTTCCTTCTTGCTCCCCACCCCGGTGAGCATCCCCACGGAAACGGCGGGCACTGGCAGGAACTCCGACTTGAGCAGGAACCTCTGCCTCCAGCTCGCGGCTTTTTCGCCTTCTCAGACCAGCCTTGTCCGGCCCTTCGGGGACACGGTGCCGACCAGGTGCACACCCTCGCAGAGCGCTGGAACTCTCCCTTCAGGACTTTGTTTCAATCCCATCCTTTCCTCTGCTCCCTCAGCCCCAGAGCTGGGGGGTGCTTCCTGCAGCTGCTTCCTCCGTGATATTCCACTGGTCTTTTTTGCGCCTTTTCAGTTCTTATCAGTTCTCTAGTATATGGTTAACACTTTATAAAGTAACTGTCCCTTGGCTGGGCTCTAATACAATCTCCATCAATGCCAAAAGTCACGTGACAAAATACAGCACTCATTTTTTTTTTTAAAAAGCACTCAATAAAGTAGTAATTTATAAATATTTTAATGTGATTATAAATATATCCAGCATCTTATTTAATGGGGTAAAACCAGAGGCATTCCCATGAAAATCAGGGACAATAGGTATAAAAGTCCATTATTCCTACTTATTTACTATTTACTCAAGGCAGCAACCATGCAATCAGACAAGAGAACGCAACAATCAGCATAGGAACTAAGGGAAAATGAGGGAAACCTAGCTTGGTTTCAGGAGGTATGTCTGGGAAGTACAACAAACAATAACACAATAATTAACATAGAGAAATCAGTTCTTCATACATGCAAACAATAATCAATTAGAAGATAAAATCAAAGAGAAGATCCCATATATATTACCAAGACAAAAGATAAAATAGCTAGGCATAAATATATCGAGAAATGTGTAAAACCTATGAGAGACACTTTGAAATTCCCTTAAAGTCTATAATATAAAAGAGTATGTTAGTGGGGCATAAAAAGCCAGACTGGACAGAGAATTGAGAAATAAATTTTAGTGGACATGGGAATATGTTAAAAAAAAAGGTGGCATTTCAAATCAGTATTGGAAAACATGGACTTTTTCATTAATGGGAACTCAGCTGGGAAAAGGTCAAAATTCCATTCACAGCTCACAACATACAATTGAACAAAATCTATGTGCATCAGAAATTTAAATGTAAAAACAAAATGAAACCACAGGGAAATGTGTTTATAATCTAGCACCAGAAAAATTGTTTCTTACTGGGACCAAACTCCACCAGAAACAAAAGGTTGATAGATCTCACTACATAATATGGAAAATAATTTGCATAGGAAGGGGAAAAGAAGACAAGACAAATCTTATAAAAAGGAGAAAAAAATAGAAAGAAGCAATGGGAACAAATATAATCCCAGAGAATGGCTCTAGGAGGTCCAAAGGCTGAAATAGGACTACAGGACAGGGAACAAAGACTGCCAGGGTGCCAAGCTCTTGACCACGGTGTCAACTGTTCCTTTAAACAAAAAAACTCCTCTGCCCCCCCCCCCCACAGCCCACATTGTTATTATGAGTAAGTTCTGTGGGGCTCAGTATGCCTACAGCAGCTTTTCTCAAAGCTTAGTACTAGGACATCTGTTCCAGAATTATCACCGTTTGCTAAAAATGCAGATTTCTGGGCCCACCCTTTCAGTTGTCAGATATTGTCTAAGAAAGCTTTTCCATGGAATAGAATTTGACTAGTCAATTTGAATATATGTTCACTGATCTCAGATATGAATAGGATTTATTACTTTTACTAGACTAGTAAGCAAGCTTTATAAAGTTACAGAAACCAAATTTAAAAGAGCCTGAAAAGTTACCTCTCAGCCAAATCATCAGATTACACATAACAGAATTCAGACCCCGACACCTAGGTAGTTACTGACCAAGAAATTCTGAAAGTGGGAACTGGCCAGGGCATAGACTTTTAAAATCCTACGGGTGTTCACGTTTATTGGTTAGTTTAAAGACAAAACTAAACAAGTTAACTTGGTATACAAGATAACCACTGCAAGAGTATTTATAATACATTTTATTTGGTTAAAAGTTAAGAGCTGTTGTTTAGCTCAAGTCTTTTAGGTTGAAAAATTGAATGAGCAGGAAGATAAGGTATAAGATAACCAAAATGATTTTAAATTTTGTAATCAATTTTAATATTACAGAACAGCTATTTTATGCACATATAGCTGAACATTAACAATGGATAAGTCAGCACTCTGTGATAAGGCAGAAAAAACAAAAAAATAAAAATAACCCCCCCAAGCTTCTCATTACGTATTTCCTCTTCTAGTTATTTCTGTTTCGCTCATTATGGTTTCAGAATTCAGAAAATCCAGAATCCATAAATCCACCTCATCTTCTCATTTTGCTGCAGAGTAGAAAAAAGGTAAGATTAGTAATAACCCAAAACAAATGCTTTTGCTGTGAAGCATGGAAAGAAACTGCTGTGTCATACTAGTAGAAAAGTTTTCTCAAAACATAAGCTTTGCCATGTATCTGAAAACTGAGAGTGGGAATTATAAATACAATTTAAGAAAAATTAACTAACATAGATTTTATGTATTACATGTTTTACTGTTTCTTTTTAACTACAAACTTGAGCATGTACAATATATGAAAATGTATAATTTTAAAACCATTAAATAAATCCTTAAGTACATACCACCTAAGAAGTCTTAGCACACCTCAGACGCCTCCGGTCTGTTTCTGATCACAGCCTTCTCATCCCTCAAGTAACCACTATTCCATATTGTTAATGACTCCTGTGCTTTAGTTTTAACCATTTATATAATGTATATTGTTTGATCTATCAATAGAATCATGCTGTAGGTACTTTTCTGTAACTTTTTTCACTAAATACCTTTACTCATTTTCAAGTCTCTCCTTTATTGAAACATTAAACATTATTGTATATTCTGTATCTGATTCTGCTCTCAGTTGCTTTTGCTAGTGTCTAGTTCCCTTGTGTGTTCTTCTTTGCTGTGAGCTAGCTGTTTCACTTCCCTTGCAACTTTATCTGTGGAAAATGTGTTGTAGGCCGAGATGAAGAGGAGGCTTCTCCAGAAAATATTTGCATTTGCTTCTAACAGACAACAGGGAGCACTGCACGTCATGGGCTAATACTAAATCCTCAGCTTGAGATTTTTTTGTGAGTTCCAGATATTGTGACTTACAACTGCAATACATGAGGGTTTGATTTTGTTTATGAATCCTCAGATCTCTTTTGCTCCTCAATTCAGTACTAGAGTTATTTCACAGGGCTTACAAAAGCTGGTGGGCAGGTTATTGTTAGTTTGTTTTTCCATTTGACAGCAGCTCTACTTCACTGTAGGAGATCTACTATAGACTCCTCGTTTTAGCTAATCCCTAAAATTTGCCTTCTGTCCCAGGTCCCTAAGGCTTTGAATCTAATGCTCATTATGCAAATGTTTTCAGGCAAAAATCAGTTTCAGGCTCCCCTTACCTTTCTGGCTTCAACTCTCATTCAGTCTCTAACCTGAGCTTTCTTACTTCCCTACTATTTAACAGACACATTGACAGATTTTTGTTTGTTTTGTTTAATAATTTTTTCAGTAACTTTATTTTTTCAGTAAGAGGGTTGATCTACAAGGTCAGAAAGTATCCAGCCATGTACTACGAAAAACATACATGATACAAGAAACATTGTAATAGGACAATGACCCCTCAATCCCCTTCAAAGAAGGCACCTTGGGACCTCACACAGCTCTCCCAATCGCCATCAGCTGTCCTGCTGTATTTTCCTGAATCTCATCGACAGTCTGAAATCTCTTCCCTTTTAAAGGTGATTTTAGTTTTGGGAAAAGCCAGAAGTTGCAGGGCGCCAAATCTGGGCTGTAGTGGGGCTGAGTCATGTGGGTGATTGGATGTTTTGCCAAAAACCTCTGCATGAGATGTGAGGCACAAGCGGGCATGTTGTTGTGATGAAGCTGCCAATCACCAGTTGCCCATCAGCAGGTGCCCATAGCCACAGTCTTCTGAACCATCCAAATAGTTTCCACAGAAGAATGTTCAAGCTTATCGCAAAAATCTGATGCAGATTCATTGCTCTACTCACTGAGTTACTTTGAATG